AATCATTCAAATCGGACCAGTAGTTCCAGAGATTAGCGCGTGCAAACAAACAAACTCTGCAGCTTTATAATATTAGTATAGATTTTTTAAGCAAATAACTGCTAGATGTTTAAATAAAAATCTAAATAATAATAAGCACCTTCTCCATAGCCTTAAATTAATAAATCTAAAAGAAATCCTCTATATGACCCTACAAAAAGCTGCAATTTTAAATACATGTCGCATTGTCAGAAAGTTCTTGCAAATAGATGAAAACGAAATAGGTTCTCATCAGAACACTACAACATAACATAACACAACACATGCTGCACTTACTTGGTTTCGGCACGTAATTGTGTAATCATGACGACCTCCGTGGCCGAGTGGTTTGTACGCCGGGTTTCATGGCTGTCGCGGACTCGAGAGGTCCCGGGTTCGAATCCCGGTGGGGGCAGATGTTTGTGTGATGAATACGAGCATTTGTACTCCAGTCATGGATGTTTAATTTGTATTTATATAAATATACTTATATATGTACAGTATATGTATTCTATCCGTTACCCTAGCATCCCATAACACAAGCCTTATAGTGCTTACTTTGGGGCCAGGCTAATTGGTGTGTTTAAAAAAAAAATTGTAGTAAAAACCAGCCAAAGAGCTGAGAAGAAAAACACTCTACAATAGGGGCGATGACGGGGTACAGTATAGTCCAGTCAACAAGTTCAAAAACGTGAAAAATAGAGATAAAGCTCCTAAAAATATGAGCAATAGCTCATTGGATTCGGAACGACCTCTAGAAAAATGAGTTTTGAGGATTTTACTGCACGTAAAAAATTGCAATTGTTATTAACAAAATAAGATGAAAAAAAGAGGTATTTACGTTTTTGTTAATAACTCATAAACTATTAATATTTACGATATTTGGAAAAAAGGTCCTTAAAGAGGAGGAAATTTCCGAAAAAAAAGTCCCAGCTCCCGGAACTCTACCTCTATTATTTATAATTTTAATTTAACGCTGAAAATAGGGCTCCGCGCAGCCATTACGGCATAGGCGCACTGCCGTTAAAGACAGTTTCTTACATAAAATATATTTTTTTATAGTAACAAATATTAATTTAAAAATTTAAATAAATTATGGTGTCATCCAGATACTTGAAAGAATATATTTCAGTTGGAAAATTTTTTTTAAATTAATTTTTCAAAAAGTTATGCAATTGTTAATTAACGAATTTTTTTCCTATCTCCGTTTTCATAAATGACGACATAAAAATTTAAATAATAAACCTATAAATTTTTGGCTCTGTGGAGCTCTTCTTACATATATACTTAACAAGATCCCGCGATAAAAGTTTATTAAAGTTAATTATTTTGTTTATAACAATTTTTTAAAGTTAACAAAAAATGAAAAGTCTAAGAAATGTTATTAAAATTTTTTTTTTAAACAAATGCTATATTATTGCTGCTTTCTTATCCAACAATGGCATTAAGTAACATCGGAAAAATTTTTTTTACATCATGCGTTAAGAAATTGTTTATAAACAAATAGACAAGTTTAATATTTAAAGAAATTTTTTTTTACCATTATGTTGTCTTGGCAAAATAATGATTTTTTTAAAAAAAAAATTTTCTTAAATAATTTTTTTTATTGTTTATAATCGTTTTTTTTATATTTCGATTGTTTAAATAATTAGTTAAGGAATGATTTTCTCTGTAAAAATCATAATTGGCATTTCTTCATAGGTAAATAGAAAAAAAAAATTATATCAATAATTTCATTGTTTGTTAACTTAACAATTTGTTATAAACAAATTCTAACTACCGTTATATTTTTTTTGTAGAGCTAAAAAAAATAACAAAAACAGCCATATATATCAAAATACTAAAAAAAAATTTTTCTATTTTTTATAACGCTTTTAAATATTACACGATACCAAAGTTGCACCGGACACTTGATTTGTCAAGTAAAAAAATAATATAACTTATAAACTATTCGAGATACGATAGTGGACATTCAGGTCGTTTTTATAAAGCATTAATTAATCTTCAAAATAAGCTAAAAACCAAGTTTGTAACTATTGTTTATCAGCTAATACATGCACTTGTTTATAAAATTTTGAGATTTCTTTAACTTTTTCGTATCTCTTATGACTTACAACTTAATAAATAATTAAAATACAGCTATAAACCTTAAAACAATTTTGTTTAGCGATACATTATCTCCCAAATTATCAATTAATCGTACCTCCATCTCTAATATGACAGAAAAGGTGTCAACTAGTTCAGTTCAAGTTCTTAGCTTATTTTGAAGATTAATTAATGCTTTATAAAACGACCTGAATGTCCATTATCGTATCTCGAATAGTTTATAAGTTATATTAATTTTTTACTCGACAAATCAAGTGTCCGGTGCAACTTTGGTATCGTGTAATATTTAAAAGCGTTATAAAAAATAGAAAAAAATTTTTTTTAGTATTTTGATATATATGGCTGTTTTTGTTATTTTTTTTAGCTCTAGAAAAAAATATAACGGTAGTTAGAATTTGTTTATAACAAATTGTTAAGTTAACAAACAATGAAATTATTGATAAAAAAATTTTTTTTTTTCTATTTACCTATGAAGAAATGCCAATTATGATTTTTAAAGAGAAAATCATTCCTTAACTAATTATTTAAACAATCGAAATATAAAAAAACGATTATAAACAATAAAAAAAATTATTTAAGAAAAATTATTTTTTTAAAAATCATTATTTTGCCAAGACAACATAATGGTAAAAAAAAATTCTTTAAATATTAAACTTGTCTATTTGTTTATAAACAATTTCTTAACAAATGATGTAAAAAAAAATTTTCCGATGTTACTTAATGCCATTGTTGGATAAGAAAGCAGCAATAATATAACATTTGTTTAAAAAAAAATTTTTAATAACATTTCTTAGACTTTTCATTTTTTGTTAACTTTAAAAAATTGCTATAAACAAAATAATTAACTTTAATAAACTTTTATCGCGGGATCTTGTTAAGTATATATATAAGAAGAGCTCCACAGAGCCAAAAATTTATAGGTTTATTATTTAAATTTTTATGTCGTCATTTATGAAAACGGAGATAGGAAAAAAATTCGTTAATTAACAATTGCATAACTTTTTGAAAAATTAATTTAAAAAAATTTTTCCAACGGGAATATATTCTTTCAAGTATCTGGATGACACCATAATTTATTTAAATTTTTAAATTCATATTTGTTACTATAAAAAAATAATTTTATGTAAGAAACTGTCTTTAACGGCAGTGCGCCCATGCCGTAATGGCTGCGCGGAGCCCTATTTTCAGCGTTAAATTAAAATTATAAATAATAGAGGTAGAGTTCCGGGAGCTGGGACTTTTTTTTCGGAAATTTCCTCTTCTTTAAGGACCTTTTTTCCAAATATCGTAAATATTAATAGTTTATGAGTTATTAACAAAAACGTAAATACCTCTTTTTTTTCATCTTATTTTGTTAATAACAATTGCAATTTTTTACGTGCAGAAAAATCCTCAAAACTCATTTTTCTAGAGGTCGTTCCGAATCCAATGAGCTATTGCTCATATTTTTAGGAGCTTTATCTCTATTTTTCACGTTTTTGAACTTGTGAACTGGACTAGTAAACGAAATTCTATTTAGTCCGTCAATTAGATGATTAAAAAATAATGGACACGTATTTTTTCTTTGGGCAATCAACCAAAAAATGACAAAGTTATAGCGTGTCAAAATTTGGGAGTAGGGGCTCGTGACGTCACTTTTGATTGAATTTTCACTTAAAAGTGTACTCAAACGTGACGTCATGCGACTTTTCAAATCAATATTTCTCTGCAATGTTTATATTATGTGAAAAAAGAAAAAATACGTGTCCAATACTTTTTGATAATCTACCTGATATAATAACTTTATTTGGAACAGGACTTTATAACGGAGGACCTCGATAGCGCAGGTGGCTAGCGCGTTCGGCTGCGATCGTTGAAGTTAATCAACTTTCGCAGTGGTCGGTCATTGGATGGGTGACCAAAAATTTACTATCTCGAGCTCCTCCGTGCTTCGGAAGGCACGTTAAGCCGTTGGTCCCGGCTGCATTTGCAGTCGTTAGCACCCACCAATCCGCACTGGGCCCGCGTGGTGGGTCATGGCCCAATCTCCCTATTCCATCCATAGGGAAGGCCTGTGCCCCAGCAGTGGGGACATTAATAGGCTGATGATGATGATGATGATGATTTGGAACAGGTGCAATGTACATAAAATTATGAATGGTTAAATCTACTATAGTTTTACAAAAACTGTGTTGCAGAATTAACGCCCATTCCCGTATCTTTATATATATAATTCTTCTGTGAGTGTGTATGTCACTGAACTTCTCTTAAACGACTGGACCGATTTTGATGAAATTTTTTGTGTGTGTTCAAGGGGATCTGAGAATGGTTTAGATTCACAATTTTGTCCGCTGGACAACCCCTATTTTTTTAGGGCGGTACGAAGTTCGCTGGGTCAGCTATTAATAATATAAAACAGTGTTCCTATCAATGTATAAATTAAACAATCTGTATTATTACTAGAGAGGAAAATTAAAATGAGACATAAAATATTCAGAATTCACAATCCATCGAAGGTAATTTCAAAACAAAAAAGTATTTCCGAGTGCATTTTTGTCAATATTATATATCAAACCAATACTAAATTTTACCAAAAAATAAAAATAAAATATATATAAAATAATATAACTATGTTTGCTATTTCTTCTTTTAAATGTTTAATACTTGTAAAGGTATTCATTCATTTGACATTGTGGGTTACCTACAATGTAATGAGACGGCGCTGCTTTACAGCCTAAGGAAAATTCGTCACAGCCGTCAGGGCCGCGGTAGCATAATGGTCAGTGCATTCGCCCGGATAGCGAAGGGTGCGGGTTCGAGTCCCGTCCGCTGCCTGGTCCGCGTGGAATTTTTTCTAGTATGATTTCTTTAGTTTAATGGGTGTTTTTTTTTTGTAGTTAGACCCGAAACTGACGGTTCACATAGTCTCTGCAGCCATAGACTTAGGATACAGAGCCATAGACACAGCTTACATCTACGGCAACGAGAAAGAAGTGGGTGAGGCTATCAGAAACAAAATAGAAGATGGCACTATTAGAAGGTAGGTAAATCCTTTATAAAGAACATAAAATTGGCGATTGCTCTAATCTTTACTGATATTATAAATATGTCTGTCTGTCTGTTATCTCTTCAATTTGATGAAATTTGGTATTTATAGATAGGGTCAGTCCTGGAGAATGAGGTAGGGTTTTTGTTTTTGAGTGTGTATGCTGTTAGTCGCAAATGACCTTTACAGCGTCACCTGGTTTTGGAGACGGCGAGATCCTAAGGGGACCTTCAAGCCGAGAATTGGCGAGTGCCTCTAGAGGTATTCCAGGCGGATGGCATCTCCCACGGGAGGAGCCTCTAGACCACCCGAACCTGAGGGGGTCGCTCAACTAAAGGGCGTCTCTGAGACTCGGACCTCGGCTCTAGTTAGCTCGTTGTCGTGGAGGGCAGGGAAAAACGCCCAGGAACGTACCTGTACCTGGTATAGCGTGTCGTGTGTAGACCGGGTCTTCGCACTCTTAATCTTCGGGAGGAAGTAGGGTACATTTTATCCTAGAAATCATCCTTCAAGAGGGTGATAAGAGGGACGGGAGTTTGTATGATAAACCAACTTTTTCACTCAGACAAAGCCGCGGGCAATCTTTAGTATCCCAATACTCAAGCTTAATGCCTCAATAACATTTGATCGTAGTCCGTATTCGGGGGCACGTAAGATATTATTCCTCAAATAGGGTATTTGACAAGTTTTAGAAAATGATCTCTCATGATTGAGTAATGTTTATGGAGTCCGTAAAAAATGGATATTCATCATTCTGTTGTGTATCTCAGGAAAAATAACCAAATCCAAAACTCCATTTTCAAGTTGCCACGAAAACGTTTCTCTGGACAATATGGCGTCTTACTAGTGTGTGACGTCACACGACTGTTATTAAAACGTCAAACAATACAATGTAATGTCACTTTAACCGGAAGTTTACTTGCGTGTGACGTAATTTTAGGCTCCGCCAATCCCAAGCGTTTTGGGTCACGTGACAATAGATAAGAAAACTACTTATCTTTTTCGTGGGTTTTTAGTAAAATTATGAATATTTTTTTTGTAAAAATAGTAAAAACCCATGCCAATATTTATTCTAAACACAGATGCTAACAATGGCACTATATTTTTAATACTGTCAAATACCCAATTCGGGCACTCGAAGCAATATTTACCCTGAAATACGGGCTGGAAGACCTTACCCGAAATCCATAGGCACCAACTGCAATAGCCATTACAGCGCCTACTTTGAGCTAGGCTAATTGGTGTGTGTGTCAGAAATATTTATTTATTTGTTGTTGCAGGGAAGACCTGTTCGTGATCTCGAAGCTATGGAGCACGTTCCACCGCACGGAGCTGGTGGCCAGCGCGTGTAGACGATCCCTGGACGTGCTGGGCTTGGACTATGTAGACCTGTTCCTGATACATAACCCGATGTCTTTTAAGGTTAGTGGTCTGCAGGGAAAACCTGTTTCTGATGCATCGCTAGCGGCGTTGCAAACATAAGCCTACATCGCAATGACCGACCCACATCAGTCGGGCCGCGACTCCCGAGCTAACCGAATACTCACAACTCACGGACTGCAGGCAAGCTAGAGAAGCCGTTCCTAAGGTAAGCCTGCAACTAACACGTAAGTTAATCAGACTACCTAGACAAGCCCTGAAACAAATCGTGGGTATACTCACGGGTCACGGCTACTTCAACAAACACCTTTGTAATATAGGTATTTCTGATAGCCCTCTGTGCAGAGCCTGCCTGGAGGAGAATGAGACGAGCGCCCATGTCCTACTGGAGTGTAGGGGCGTTGCAAGACAAAGGACTTCTCTAATGGGAAGCCCGAAGACAATAGTAGAGGCCTGCAGCAACATTTGGGGACTGCTGAGCTTTCTGGAGGAGCTGGGATGGCAGGACTGATGCCAATCCCCACGCAAAATAGGCACTGGGTGTCGAGTTGCGGAAACAGCCCGCCGTACTACTAAGACTAAGACACCCGAGCTAACATCAGCCAGCTTGGAGGAAGATGATCCCCTTTTCGCCTTCCTACAGTCTTTGACTCACGGGTTCCACCGCATGGAGCTGGTAGCGGATGTCTGTAGACGATCTCTGGATGCGATAGGCTTGGACTATGTAGACCTGTTCTTGATACATAACCCGATGTCTTTTAAGGTTGGTGGTCAGCAGGAAAGACCTAATCGTGATATCGAAGCTGTGGAGCATGTTCCTGATGCATAACCTGATGTCTTTTAAGGTCAGTGGTCTCTCACAGACGATACCTGGACGCGCTGGGCTTGGATTATGTGTCGGATGTATATGATGTTGGATGACACATAACCCGATGCCTTTTAAGATCAGTGGTCTATAACAAAAACTTGTATCCTTACTTTTTCACTTATTCACTCATAATATTGGTTATTTTACTTATCCGTAATCATCCATAGTAATATTTTAAATGCGAAATTGTGTCTGTCTGTTATCACTTTTCACGCTTAAACTTCTGCGGTAAATATTGGCTTCCCATACAAATTTCCATCCTCTATTTTCACCCCTGTAAAGGGTAATTTCTAAGATAAAAACTATATTATATCCTTTCCCGGGACTCAACCTATATCTATACCGAATTTTATCTACATCGATTCAGTGGTTTATGTGTGAAGAGATAACAGACAAACGGACAGACAGACACATTCGTATTTTAATATTAGTATGTAGTTAGTACTACATTTCGTGTACTGCGATGTGACTTGCAGCAACTTCACACCCACCCGCCGTTAAGTTTTAATCTCATCAACCTATCTTAATGACTCATTTCTCACTTCACACAGGAAGGTCCAGACCCTATACCGAAGATAGCCAACGTACTCCAATACTCGCAGTACGACTACTTAGACGCATGGTTCGGAGTGGAAGAGCTCGTCCCAATGAAGTTAGCCAGGAGTGTGGGAGTTAGCAACTTCAACTCGTCACAACTTCAGAGATTGCTCGACAAGGCGAAGGTCAAGCCCGTAGTCAATCAGGTAAGGAATTAGAAAAAAAGAATTTCTATTTAGTATGTACAAAAGTACAGATCTAGTTATATTTTTATGTACTGGCGAAAAAGATATACGTGATGCAATCACATTAAAAATTGCATGAGTAACATAGAACAAAGTTGGAACGAAATCTATACTTCTTTAACTATACTCATATCTATCTATATATATAAAACTCAAAGGTGACTGACTGACTGACATAGTGATCTATCAACGCACAGCCTAAACCACTGAACGGATCGGGCTGAAAGGACAATGTTAAAATTGGCCTAAGAACTAACACCAATTTGGCATTTATGATAATTCTTAGTATATTTTTTGCGATAATTATCAGTATTTAGATTGTGACGGACACTTCCAGTTAAGTAAGCTAATTTAAAAAGTTAAAAAATAATCTGAGACAATAAATACCATTTTATGTGTATAATCTATGGCAGCGCTGCAAACAAAACACTCTTTCTTCCTAATGCCGGCACTTCACTTGGCTATTCGTATTTGCTATTTTAAAACATGGCTTCAGTCTGTCCTTTTCATTCCTTATTAAGCATGACAAGGACAAATTGTTGTCAAGTGAAGGGCCGGCATAAAACTCGATACTCTGTGGTTGTGGTGCATGCAGTTTGCATTCGTAGTAATCTGTGGCATTCGTGCATTCCAAAGAGTAGTATAATATACCGGAAAGTGCATTCTCGTTTCGGATTACCTGTTGTGTGTGTTTATTTGCGATTGTTTTTCCTTTAATTTAACTATTTCGGCTATCTAATATGCCATCGATGTTACCAAAGAGCAGAGCCCTTATTACCAAGTGCTAGTGAACCTGTGCCACAACATCCTGAGAGGATCATACTGCCAAATTATTCAAGAACACCTGATACACATTCACGCTGCATATTTACACAATAAACATGTGATATACAAATAAATACAATAAACAATATGATACAATTATGTGAAAAATAGTCAATAAATAAGAAGCAAAACTACAGTTTTTATTTTATTCATATTCCTACCTTACCAAGTTTTTCCTAGTAGTTATTCTTTAAAATCGCACCGAATAAAATGAATTAGTTGTAATATTAATTCACTTCATACTGAGTTCGTACTAAATTCATAGCTTGACCTATGTTTCATTGAATATTAAACATAACCTCAAAAAAGTTTTAGTTTTCCTAATAATTAAAGTTCTCAGAAGTGTCCGTCAATATTCTTTGTTTTTACAGTCATGTACTTACGATTTTGAACCTAGAAAATAATATTTCATGATTGTTGGTTCTTAGGCTAACTATGTATGGACGCTGAACAATATCCTTTGGCATGCAGGTAGATGTTATGACGTAGGCATCCGCTAAGAAACGATTTTGATCAATTCTACCCCCAAGTAGACCAGGGTCGATAATTTTTGAGACCAAAAAAAAATTATAGTAGGATGAAACCCATTAGAAAAGGTAGAGAATATAACAAAAATGAAAGGAAAAATAAACTACGGGCGATCTGAGGTCGGGAAGGGGGAGGGGGTGAGTTTTTAAGGGTAAAAAATGGTTAATCTCGATTTCCGGTAAAACTGCAAGTCCTATGAAAAAAAGTTAAATGGCAAAGTTGTAGGTAATAAAAAGATCTACAACTTTTGTATCGACACTTTTTTCACATAACCTCAAAATTTATGTGAAAAATGCGAATAACCGAGTTTTTGGTTTTTGATTTTTATTTTTTGCAAATAAAATTTATTTTTTCACGAAATTTGGTGAAAACTTACCTTTGTATGTCCCAAACATACAGTATTTTTTTTTTGATTTAAAATATTCATTTTTTCACCTTATTTTGACATAATATCGAAAAAGCACCCTTATTTTCAATCGAAAATGCTCACGTCAAAATATCTGCTTTTTTAAAAAAGTTGGGGTGTTTTTTGTTTGTTGAAATCTCTAATTTCTGATGGTATAAAAAAATATACACTACTATGGTAAATGTTCTCAGAAACTGCAAATTAATAATGAAAAAAACTCCAATCCGAAAATCCTATTTTTAATACCTACTTACAACAACTATTTTTGCATGTTTTATGGATTTTACTTGGACTTATAATTTTTTTTCACTTTCACCATTTTTAAAATTATCGACCCTGGTCTAAAGGAGATAAAATGGAGAATGAAAGTTTGTATGAAACTTTGTCAATTTTAAACCGATCGGGCTGAGACTTTGCATGCAGGTATAAGAAGAATCATAGATGAATGTCATTGTGTATAATACAAGCCTGAGAAAAAAAACTGTAGTCTATACTCCGCTAGTGTATTATAAAGAAGAAATATTTAATTGTTTGTTTGTATTGAATAGTCTCCGAAACTACTGGACCGATTTGGAAAATTCTTACACATTTAGAATCCTACATTATCCCTGATGAACATAGACTATAGAGTATTTTCAAAAAAGTTAGGGTTCCGCATGAAAAATTCAATAATGTGTGAAAAGAATACCATAAAAATAACCTTATATCGCTTACGCTGCAGAAGTCATTGGCTATAGAGCAAAGTGATGTACTAAAGTTTTATATAGGACATAAATATATACAAAAAAGGCCGCTATATGATATGTCTAACTATTGCAGTTATCTCACAACGATATTAAATACCCTAGATACACCACGAGCGCTCAAAATGTGTCCCAATAAAGAAGTGCTTGAACACGGCTCAAGCACTTCTTGATTGGGACACATTTTGAGCGCTCGTTAAAACTTCGGTTAAAGTGACATTACATTGCATCGTTTGACGTTTTCATAACAGTCGTGTGACGTCACACACTAGTAAGACGCCATATTGTCCAGAGAAACGTTTTCGCGGCAACTTGAAAATGGAGTTTTGGATTTGGTTATATTTACTGAAATGCACAACAGAATGATGAATATCGACTTTTTACGGACTCCATAAACATTAGTCAATCACGTGAAATCCTTTTCTAAAACTTGTCTAATACCCTATTGAGCTCAGTGCTATAGCTTCCGTTCCATCGCCACCACTCCCGGTCCATCGCACACGCTCCCGGTGCATCACCCACCAAACAAACTTTAAAAAAAATGTGTTTCCACCCATTAAAAAAGTCTTTTCCTCCTTTTGTAACGTGTTCTCCTCCTTTTAGAATAGGTTGTATCCTGTTCTAATTTTTTCCACTTTTTACCATTTTCAATTACCTAATAGGCTGTGGCAGCCGCTTACCATCAAGCGAGCGGGCCATAAACTTGATTGCCAACTTATTTAACATAATAAAATGTATTTCAGGTGGAATGCCATCCGTACCTGAGTCAACACAAGCTGGACGAATTCTGCTCAGAGCGCCACATTAAGCTTAGCTGCTTCGGAGTACTGGGCTCTGGAGGTGAGGTATCTTTGTACCTACCTATATCCATTTTATATTCAAATATATTTATTGTGATACACGGGTAATGGGATCTTAGGTTTGATAGATAACATGCCGTTATCACCTGCAGAGGCTTACAATAATGTAATACAATACAATTCTAGACGAATATTTAAATTAAATTACAAACATTAAATTCAATGTTCAATTAGTTAAAATAGTAAATTGTTTTTTATTTTTTAATTCGCGAATTCAAACGGATATTAATTGCTTTTAGATAAAACTCATTGATTGAATAATAAAATGAATTATTATTTAGGTAATGACATAGATGAATTTTATTGGTCTTGCTAAGCAATACCAATCATTTATCTATGGATAATGATATATTTTTTGTTTAAATTGTAATGGTTTCTTCTTTAATATGACCACGATTCAGTATGAAAATACTTTCGATATTAGCAGCTGAGCCCCACAACAAAAGGCCATATAATATAACGCTAAGAAAGTAACCAAAGTAAACCAAACTTGCCGTTTCCACATCAGTTAAGAGTCTTATTTTTTTAACAGCGAAAGCTGCAGAGCTCAATCTACTTAATAAGGCATCAATATGAGGATTCTATTGTAGATACGAATCTAAACTTATGCCTACCCAGAATTATTTTTATACTAGTAATAACCTGCCTCACATTAGGTAAACTTAACACATTTTGTTTTACTGGACTTTAGTTTTAAATTATTTACCGTTAACCAATGAAGGACTTCAGAGAGCGCACAATTTACTTCGTCATAACAATCATTTCCTCTTCTAGCTTTAAAAACTAAAGAGGTGTCATCAGCAAACAGTACTGCCTCATACAAATATCTTATAAAGTGAGGACGGACATTGATATAAATAAGGAAAAGCAATGGGCCCAGTATTGAACCCTGGGGCACCCCCATAGAAATGGGTGCTCCTGTAGACTCAGCTTCATTTATAACTACTTTCTGAATCCTAGCAGAAAGATAAGACTGTATCTAAGTGAAATATTTGATACACCATAATGCTTCATTTTATTTAACAATGTTTCATGGCTAACGCAGTCAAACGTCTTTGATAAGTCGCAAAAAAAATTAATAACCCATTTCGTTTTTTGTTGACAGGTTAGAATTATGTTATAAATAAATACTCCAATAAATATAAGTAGTATATCCGGACATCTAGATTAATATTTTCATAAATGTGGTTACAAAGGTACTCCTATGGACCTGAAGGGCTTCAACAACCCGGTGCTTGAGGACCCTCTGGTGCAGGTGATGGCGGCAGGCCTGGGCATTACGCCGGCACAGCTTCTGATCAGGTTTTTAGTGATCTTACTAATAATCTCCGCTTCTGACAACAAGCTGCTATGATAAACAAGCCTAGTAGTCCAGAATTTAACAGACGGGATCAAAATCTAGAATATCTATTTAATGGGTGTCGATTGTTAAATTTTGGAGTACTGGGTTTAATTTTTTCAGTTTCATTTAAAGTTCCTTTTTAAGCAGTCAAATTCTTTTTTACGTTATTGATTTGTTCTTTTCATTTTCGAATTTTAAGTTTCAAATATTATTTGATTAAATAAAACTAGTTTTTACGGGTTAATGCACGAAATTTTATTTATTTATTGACGTTTCGTAGCCTTTACAGGCTACAGAAGGCTACGAAACGTCTATAAATAAATAAAATTTCTTGCATTAACCCGTAAAAACTAGTTTTATTTAATGAGTGATGTGCGTGAAAACCTAAGAAACAAATATTATTTGATTATTTATATATATTGTATTATATTGTAGGTACATAATATATTTTATTTTGTTGAAACATTTTCTTTTGCGACGAGACTAGACGAGAGGCGACCTCCGTGGCTGAGTGGTTTGTACGCCGGGTTTTAAGGTGTCGCCTGCTCGAGGTCCCGGGTTCGAATTCGGTGGAGGCAGATGTGTGTATGATGAATACGAGTTTTTGTACTCCAGTCATCGATGTTTAATATGTATTTTTATACAAATGTATTCCATAACGTAAGCCTACCGTGCTTACTTTGGGGCTAGGCTAATTAATTGGTGTGTGTTGGAAATATTTATTTTATTTATATTTATTTATACAATCTACTGATCTCCTCTTCACATTTGGGTCTATTTATTCAGATATCAACTGGAACTTGGGAGAGCTGTGGTAGTGAAAGCATCATCAGGTTCCCGCTTGTACGAGAACCTTCAAGCCATGAATTGTTCTCTTAGCGAGGGAGAATTGGACGCACTGGCAGCACTCAACAGGAATAGAAGGACGTTCACTTTTAAAGGGTAAGTGTAGGGTAGGAGGGTAAGGAAAAATATTTAAGGTAGGTGCAGGTTAGGAAGGTAGGCATAGAGTAGATGAAGGGTAGAGTAAGAATTAATGACCGAAGCTGGATGAAGTGTAGGTGCAAGGTAAGAATTTAGGTGTGAGGTAGGAGGGTAGGTGTAAGGTAGAAAGGTAGGCGCGATGAATCTTTGCCCACTCTAGAATACTGTCTACCCACATATCCAACCCAAAAATCGATCGTTTGTAAATGACAAAATAATTTCAGAATGAATGCAAGGAAAAATCTTTAGCTACGCCAATAGGTAGGGAGAATGTATGGTAGGAGATCGGTGTAAGGTAAGGGAGAGTATATAGGGAAAGTGTAAGGTAGAAGGGCAGGTGTAAGGTAGGACGGTAGGTGTAGAATAGAAGATAAGTTTGAGCGTTTACTTGTGAACCTGCTGACTCTAAAATAGCCCCATCGTAGAGTTAGGTGGAATTATTCATGAGACGTACGTCAAGGGGATAAATATAGAGTAAAATACAAGGTAGTTGTACACGAGAACCTTCAATCTTTGAACTGTTCCTTTAGTGAGGGAGAAGTGGACGCATTCGCAGCATTCTTTCGTTATAGAAGAACGTTCACTTTTCAAGGGTAAGTGTAGGGTAGGAGGGTAGAGGATGATTGTATAGCAGGTATACACCCACCATATACTATACAACACTAACACTTTTCCTTAACTATCTTCCCTACCCTACGGTAGGGTAAGTGTAAGGTAGGTGGGGCCGGTGTAGGGTAGACGCAGGGTAGGAGGGTAGGTGTAAGGTAGGAAGATAGGCATGAGGTAGGAGGACAAGTAAGACCATCAAGTCTTGAACTCAAAGGTCAAAATCCTTTCTAAGCGGATGCCTACGTCATAACATCTACCTGCATGCCAAATTTCAGCCCGATCCGTCCAGTGGTTTGGGCTGTGCGTTGATAGATAACTTTGTCAGTCAGTCGGTCATATTTGAGTTTTATATATATATATATATATATATATATATATATATAGATTTGAAAGAAAAAATAGCAATTATAGAATTTAATCCAGCAGTTACATGCTTAAAATTATAACTTATATTTCTTGTTTATTTTGTTTTACAGAATGGGAGACACGCACAAGAATTACCCATTTAAGGCACAATTTTAGTGCCAAATCTTCATACAAAATAAATTATAAATAAGATGTGAATTTGTATGTGTTTTGTGTGTATTAGAGTTAAGTTTTTAAGGATAATGTTTTTTTATTAATCAATGAAGTTCTTATTGAATTGACTTTATGCATTTTTATAATTGAGTAGGTACTCATAATTATTTGAATATTGGATTAAAATTGATTTTAGCATAATTGAATAGAATAGAGTTAAAAGTCTTATTCTTTTATTTCATACAGACTACGTAGTCTTAATGAAATAAATGAATAATAAATATTATGTAAGTTTTTGTGTTCGTAAGTACAGTAAACGACATATCCATAGTAGCACTTCGGTATACTAAAAAAACATTTTTTTCCAAAAAAAATTTGGTTTACAGTGCTAGTAAAGAAATGTTGTTCACTGTTAAAACATTCAATATAAACTTTATAAAAATTGCGTGCTTTATTCCCACTAGTTCTGTTGAACAGTTTTGTTGACAGATCTAATGGGAATTTTCGTCCTACTAGTTCTGTTAACCGAACTGGTTTTTGTAGCAGTTCTGCTGAGATTTAATAAAGATAGCATGCATTGATAGTGTTTTCAAAGTATTGTTTACTACTGACCACTTTGAATCGTTGCTTAAATCATGAATGGTAAGTTTATTTAAGCATTCGATTAGATTACAAAATTTTAAATAAAATTATTATATGCTTGCAACTTACGTGTGTTCACAGCATTCAATACAAAAATGACATTTTTTTAAATATAATCAAATTAAAATTTAGTAATTTGTCAATATACTGAAAGTTGTATGAATTGTGACTATCAAAACTAATACAAAAGTAGCAACATCAATTGAATGAATGAAAAGGATGAATAAATGAAATGATACTTTATTCAAATTGACTTATTGGAAACTCTTTTGAACCGTCCAATATTTTTAATACCATCAATTTTGTACATCTTTGTTTAAAGTATAATCACACAAATATTTACTAGCTAAGTTACTCACAGAACTAGTGCCACAAAAATTCTCATTAGTACGATCAAAAAAACTACCCAAATTATTCACAGAACTAGTGGGATAAAAATTCCCATTAATTCGATCAACAGAACTAGTGGGAATAAAAGGTTACTCGATGTGCTTCCCTTGTGCCAAATATCCATATAAAAACAAAAATGTTTTTATTGTCCAAAATATAAAATGCATTTTCAACCAGTTATTCAAGGCAAGTAACAATTTGTCGAGTAAAATGAAATAATTATTTACTTGTATAATTTAAATAATAATAATGTTCTCTGTTTAATGTTTATCCATGTGTGTATTCAAATTAGAATTTAAGATTTTGTAATGCCATACAAATTTTATACAATGTGAAAATAATAATTAAATAAAAAAATGCGAACTTTAAAAATAAAAGATATGGTTTTATTTTTAATACATTAAAAAAACATTTATTTTTCAGTAATTACAAATAACAATACAAAAATAGTCCTTAACAATAGATTCATATCAAGTTCAATGATTTTAATATTAATTAAAACACTTCAAATCAGTCCTTTGGCGACGGATTCTTGAATAACCCTGTAACAAATTACATATTTATTAATTTTGAATTACTACTGTTTTGTAATCATCATCATCATCAGCCTATTAATGTCCCCACTGCTGGGGCACAGGCCTTCCCTATGGATGGAATAGGGAGTTTGGGCCATGACCCACCACGCGGGCCCAATGCGGATTGGTGGGTGCACGACTGCAGACGCAGCCGCGACGAACGGCTTAACGTGCCTTCCGAAGCACGGAGGAGCTCGAGATAGTAATTTTTGGTCACCCATCCAAAGACCGACCTCTGCGAAGGTTGCTTAAGTTCAACGATCGCCATCGAGCTCCTCGAGTTTTGTAATACTGGTGGTAAACAAGCATATATACAAGCCCGCCTGGTGGTTAGCGGCCAGCATAGCCTATAAGATAAAAATTTCACTCGCGCCGTTGCTTTCCCTGGCCTACCCTGTGAGGCCTGTCCGGTAAAAAATAAATGGTCATACCGGACAGAACAATGTCCAGTATTTTGAGGAAAGTCGGTACTGCTGGTCACAAGCGCCTACAAAAGTAGACATATGAAATCCCTCAAACGCAAAACTCGCGCGCGCTCCTCTAATTAAGTTGATTTATGTGATGTTGATTAATAAATAAAAAATACTAGCAAACCAGTGAACCAAATGTTCACCAAAACCTGATTTAAAAAAAAATGTATTTAATTAATTGAGAACTTCGGAGATTTTGTGTGGTTTCGTTTGAAATTCGTGATTTCTCGAAAACCGGAAGTGCTACGTTACTCAAATCCGGTTTGTAGTCTTATCAGACTATTCTTAACTTATAACTTAAATATTCTCTTTATCTATCTCTTACGGTTTGGCCGCTGAAACAGCACCACAGACAGACGGACGGACTTGTCTAATAGATAAGAGATTAGTATATAAAAAAAACTATTTTTTGCATACACCTCTTCGCCCCCCCTACCCGTTTGGGGTTATCCGGTATTTTTGCGCGACTCACCTGGCAACACTAACCATGACCCAATATCGAACCCTGTGGAGCCCTAAATCCTTACTCTCCCCGACAGAAACACAACCAAAAGGTATTGCATTTTACACAGTAAAATAACACCCACACACACACACACACACACAACAACAGGCTCGTTGTAACTTTACAAAAAATGTTTTAAGTGATTAATAATAATTGTTTTATGGTAGCATAATGGTCAGTGCATTCGCCCGGATAGCGAAGGATGCGGGTTCGAGTCCCGTCCGCTGCCTGGTTCGCGTGGATTTTTTTTTTCTAGTAAAACTATTCTTTAGATTTAAACATCTAGCAGTTAAACGCTTAAAAAATAAAAATAAAATCATAACTATAATTGCTATTTCTTCTTTCAAATGTTTAATACTTGAAAAAGTATTCATTTGACATTGTGGGTTACCTACAATGCGAAGAGATGGCGCTGCCTTGCAGCTTAAGGCTAGGAAAATTTCGACGCGGCTAATAGGGCCGTGGTAGCATAATGGTCAGTGCATTCGCCCGGATAGCGAAGGATGCGGGTTCGAGTCCCGTCCGCTGCCTGGTCCGCGTGGATTTTTTGAAGTTATACTTCTTTAGGCGCGTTATAAAAAAATTATGAGAGTGAAATTTTAAGATGCGCGCGCATCTGTAACACAAAAAATTAACACCATGAAGTTGGTCGCTTTAGCGACCAACTTCATGTGCCGCGCTGCCATTACCGCGTCGCCCGCCGCACCGTACGCATGCGCGGCCACTCGCAGTCCTAGCGCGGGAAACACGTACAACAAACATCGGGAAAAGTTACGAGTTTTGAATTTAGAACAGACTGTTTTCATATCTATATATATAAAAATGAAACCCGTTTTCCGTTGTCACGACATAACATGAAAACGGCTTGACCGATTTGGCTGTTTTTTTTGTAGTTTTCTAATACTCTGTACAAGGTTCTTACGGAAAAAAATATAAAGAAAATCTCAAGGGGATAAAATAAGGAATGAAAGTTTGTATGAAACTTTATCAATTTTAAACCGATCGGGCTGAGACTTTGCATGAAGGTATAAGAAGAATCATAGATGAATGTCATTGTGTATAATACAAGCCTGAGAACAAAAACTGTAGTCTACACTTCAGCTCTACACCGAAGCGAAGCGAGGGCGGGCCGCTAGTTTATAATATTTATCCACATGTTTCTAGTTTGTATATTCGGAATACGTGTTTGAGTTTCATACAAGTGCAAATCACATATGTTCTAATAAATTATATTCAGTAGCGATTTTAATTGAATATTTTGATTATTTATTTATTTTTTCAAATTAAAACTGAACTTTATTGACTGTGTCCTTTTCCAGACTTTTTATTAATTTATTGTAATTAATTATTTGCATGCAATTAAAAACTAATTTTAAACGATGCCAAAGAAGGATAACTTCTCACGCGCCTACATAAGTACACGCACCCATTTTTTTTTCTAGTAAAACTATTCTTTAGATTTAAACATCTAGCAGTTAAATGCTTATTATTATATTTTATTAGACCGAAAAATAAATATTGTATATTTTTGACCTAGGTAAAAAAACAAATCAAAATACAGTGTAAACTCCATGTAACGTCACTCGATTTAACGACAAATTCCTAAAGCGTCGAAATCACTCTTCTTTGGTTGGTTTAGTTTATTTTCTATACAATGATACGCTCCTTAGGGTGGATTCGACCATACAAGAGTAAATCTTAATCTTAGAATAAATCGTCAGTTAATCGAGAGTAAATTAATTTTACGTTCTACCATCTACAATTCTAAGAATAGTGGGCCTATTCGGGAATTGTTACTATACCGCCGCTTCGCACGGTATAAAGGAGCTATTCCTAGAATAATGTAATGGCGTCAGTCAGTCCAATCATCTGATTTCTGTCATTTTACAAATATATAATCTGTGTTTTCAAATCAACTCAACGCACTAAACTAATAGTCTCGCATTGTATAATGCAACGTTTAAACAATTTGATTGATGATAGTGATAGTGATGAGGAAATTATACCTAGACGTCCAAGATGGTTAAAAGAAAGAAAAGACTTATTTGAATATTATGATGACCATGATTTTGCGATGAGGTTTCGTTTGAGCAAAGAAGCCACTTTGTTTCTGCTATCGAAAATTGAACCTAACTTAGAATATATTCGCGTATTATTATTCCTAGCGCAAGTATACTATCGATTACGTGGAGAAACGACTATGGATTTACTCGAGATTAAAATCATGGAATAGTTTATTCCTGGTATAGTTACTCGTGTATAAATTTTACCTTTTAAGTTGCCAAAATTAGTAAAAATCGCGCAGCCGTGTGCGTTCTTTTGTCGCTTTATTATCCTAGCCCGTAATAAACTCGACTGCCGGCATCATGCAAACCAAACTTTCTAAGAAATTCTTTCTTTTGTTCACAAATGAGGATTGCAAATTACTGGTGCAGCAAAAGACGTCAGACAAAAATAACAGAATATACGCAATAGCTTTCAAATCAGATATTTTTTTTTATGTATATGTTACGGCTAATAGCCGAAGTGCGGCTACACCTAGTTTTAGCCGGCTACAACTAGGTGCAGCCCGCCACATGCGGTAAACTTAGGTGTATCCTACATATCTTCGGTTACAACTGGGTTTAGCCTTCATTATAGCGGCTAGAACTAGGTACAGCTGCACACTGGTTGTTAAACTTAGGTGCATCCTATTGATTATCGGCTAGAACTAGGTTTTCAGTTCACTTAAGGATTTTGGTTTTATTTTGAGATTCATATCTTGCGTTTCCTGATTGATTCGATTTTGTATCATCACCCCGGTAGATAAGATATCTTATCTTAGACAAGCCATAAACCATGCCAGTCCGAAACATGATTTATACTCGTAATTGTGTTGAATTATATTATGAACTGAAATGAAATTTCGTCTTTTAATGTGGAGAGTGCCTCTGTAGTGAAAACTACAGTAAGTAGGCACTAAAGAGTTCTGTACTCGACTCGAGTTGTTTAACTCCAAATGCCATTCAAGTTTATCTTGTTCAAATAAGTGATAGACATTCTTGCAACATACTATCACATATGAGAGTTTGTTGATTTTTGTATAATTAAAACTGAGTTAAAAAGTTATCCTATTTGTTTTAAAAATATGAGAGAAGAGAACAAAGACTTAGTTGGTTTTTTCATAGTTAAGAATTTTTTTTTTTTTTTTTATGTTTGCGCCAAAGATAGTTCTGTTAGTTTATAAAGAGAAGATATATAATATTTTGTATAAGTAATTAACTTATAATAACGTCTTTTTTGGTTAAAAGATATTTTCCTGTCAAATAATAAATAATAAAAACATCCCTGTCTTTTATTTATTCCATGTAATCGAATCAATCGAAACGCAAAATTAGAATCTCAAAACAACTGAACTGAAAACCTTGTTCTAGCCGATGATAAATAGGGTACACCTAAGTTTAACCACCGGTGTGTGGCTGCACCTAGTTTTAGCCGCTATAATAAAGGCTAAATCTAGTTGTAACCCAAGATAAGTAGGATACACCTAAATATAACCGCATGTGGCGGGCTGCTTCTAGTTGTAGCCGGCTAAAACTAGGTGTAGCCGTACTTCGGCTATTAGCCGTAACATATATAACTATACTAGCTTGAAATAAACTTTTTCTTTCATAATTTAGATTTTTCTTCTTTCCATTTAACGATAACTCTCTATAACGCTTTAGTGTCGTTATAAAGAGTTTACACTGTATATTTATTCACCAATACAAAATTTTCAACTTAGCTTAAAATTAAACAGTGGTTTTCGCACTGAGCTGAGCTCGTAACGCAAAGACCTAAGAAAGAAAGATTCAAAACTTTAATTTTAAAATATATTTTTAATGGACATACTAAAACACTGTCGGCCATTTTAGTCTTTTTATGTCTGACGAAAGAAACCACAGTAACACGAGAAAGACGTTTAGTACTTTACAAATTTTGTGACGTCACGATCATGATGGACAGCGTTTTTAGTGTTTAAAAAGGATAGACTAAAAAACCATTTTACAAATTAAATTAATACAGTCATCTTTTAATTTTATGAAGTGAAATCGATGCATTTACGTTCTTCATACCAAAAGTTATAAGAAATAAATAAACATAAACATATACACATAAACATTTGTATAGTACTATTTGACAAGAGTCAACTAGCCTATTTGGTGGCCTACCTAACCGATCTACTTCGATCTATCCGGCTCGAAGGACCAAATTTTTTAACTCCCGCTCCTCCACCCACCCTTCACCCTGACCCAATCCCCTACCCCGTAAAGCCTTGAAACCTTATGGTAGCCATACACACTACGAGAAATCGTTACGATTAGACTGTACCGTCCGAACGGTACCGATAAATCGTAGCGTGTATGTTATAAAACTGCACAGTTTCCTATACGTACGCCACGTACGATAAACTGTTCCGTTCGAACTGTACAGTCTGATCGTAACGATTTCTCGTAGTGTGTATGGCTACCATTATAATCATCGACAAAAAAACGTTTTGTTTTTAATAGATAAGAGTGATTCAAGAGGAAGGTTTATATGTATAATACATGCATAATATACTAGTGAAACACTAGATAACTTTAGAGGTTTTTAATGTAAGGTCGTAAATAAACACATTTTTTGCGCTTACATTGCAAACGCTGGCTGAACCCTACGAGATAGATCAAAATAATGTACTACAATTTTGTACACCTTAAAAAGGTCTACAAAAAAGTCCGCGATGGTATATGTCAATCTCTTAGGGATAACCCACAATAAGCATTTTTTATCCTATACTTTTTACTAGACGTAATAGATTATTTACGAAGCGATTTTCAGCAATATAACATTCATCCTTATCCAATACAGTACCTTAAATACATTGTGCATTTAATATAGAACAATTTGGCCCTTTAACGCATGTTATTTAAATGAATATTTTCGAAGATATTACAGATTTAAAATGCAGGGACATAGGTCGATTCCGACGCTACCAGGCGGGGGGCTTGGCGGCGCGTGCCTATTGTAATTAGGTATTAGAAGAATGTCATTGTTGTGTATAGTACAAGCCTGAGAACAAAACCTATAGTCTACACTACAGCTCTACACCGAAGCGAAGCGAGGGCGGGCCACTAGTTTCGAATAAATGATAAATATAGAGTAGGGGGGGAGGAGGTAATGGATCGCCAGCCGATCGCGCATATATAAACGCCGGAGCGAAATCAAGTCCGGCACGTCATTCAGCAACCAGCGCTCTCAGAAATAACAGATGTAATTAACTTTTGTTTAGAAAAGTGTATTGAATTTAAATTTATACCTAGTTACTCACCTGAATTTGGAGGACTATGGGAAGCAGGAGTAAAGAGTTTGAAATTTCACCTAAAAAGAGTTGTAGGCAATATATGTCTCACATATGAGGGTCTTAACACCATAATAATTGAAATCGAGGCAATCCTCAACTCAAGGCCGCTGTTTCCTATATCTTCTGACATGACTGACACAAGTTATCTGACCCCAGGTCATTTCCTTATTGGCACTGCATTGACAAGTTTCCCAGAAGCTGACTTTACACAAAAAAGAATTGAAACTTTAAAATTTTGGAACATTTTAACTAAAGTAAAAAAATGGTTGCCTGTAAAGTCGGTTTTACGGGCGAAGATTTTACGTGACAACGTCTTTTTCTCGGTAGAATATTTATTGATATGAATATAATTAAATTGCACAATAGGAACAAGGAATTGAATGAAAATAAGAATTGCACAAATTTTAACTATAGAAATATATTTTGTTTACTAAAACATTGTACATGTAAACTTAAACTTAACACGAGAGACTCATCGTAACGTTACCGAGCGTTACACTTTTTCATAAGTGACTCCCAGCCGCAACCTAATTTAAGACGTTGTCACGTCAACAAGACTTCTGGAAAGCTTGGTCTCAAGATTATCTTACCCAATTGCAAAATAGACCTAAATGGACTACTGAATATCCTAATCTTAAAGTTGGAGATCTTGTTATTGTTCGATCTGATAACACAAGTACTTTTCAGTGGCCTATGGCAGGAAGAATAAGGAAGCGGTTCTTTCTGAAATAGGGTTACCGTCCGTCCGGATTTGTCCGCACATGTCTCATCCTCTTTAATCACTCTATCTATTAGAAAAACCGCATCAAAATCCGTTGCGTAGTTTTAAAGATCTAAGCATACACAGGGACATAGGGACACACAGCGGGAAGCGACTTTGCTTTATACTATGCAGTGATGTAATTTGTGATGTATAAATAAATTTAAATGTAGAAACAAATATACTCACTTGGTATATTTGTGGTCTTGGTAACAGTTTTGTTATTGTTACCAAATGTTGTCGCAGTCTTGAACTTGGACGGTACCTTTCCTGCAATTTATTAAAATGTAAATTAAAGTCCTTAAAATATTTGTTTAATTGCACATTTATTTCAGCTGAAACATCCAAAATATAGGAGGAGGAGCTCGATGGCGCAAGTGGTTAGCGCGTTCGGCTGCGATCGTTGAAGTTAAGCAACTTTAGCAGTGGTCGGTCATTGGATGAGTGACCAAAATTTTACTATCTCGAGTTCTTCCGTGCTTCGGAAGGCACTTTAAGCCGTTGGTCCCGGCTGCAGATGCAGTCGTTAGCACCCGCCAATCCGCACTAGGCCCGCGTGGTAGGTTGTGGCCCAATCTCCCTATTCCATCCATAGGGAAGGCCTATGCCCCAGCAGTGGGGACATTAATAGGCTGGTGAAGATCCAAATTATTCTCTTTTCAATAAACATTTCTTTATTTTTCTTTTATTAGATAAATTCAGTTGTAAAAAAAATTTTATTAGAATATTTCTAAAGGAACTTTGGGTTGTTGTTCATTCGTAACAAAATTAATGTTTGACGCCGAATCTCAAGGTGTCACCTACTCGAGAGGTCCCGGGTTCGAATCCCGGTGGGGGCAGATGTTTGTGTGATGAATACGAGCATTTGTACTCCAGTCGTGGATGTTTAATATGTATTTTTATATAAATATACTTATATATGTATCAGTTTAAGTATTCTATCCGTTACCCTAGTTTTCTATAACACAAGCCATACAGTGCTTACTTTGGGGCTAGGCTAATAAATAGGGTATTTGCCAAACTTTTGAAAACTGCTTATATTTAAAGATTGGGACAAAAGAATTAACAGAAAAATAAATTAATTAATGTGTTTTTTTCTCCATTACATTAATTAAAGATTAATTTTGTTTTTTTTTTTATGGTTTTGAATTTACAGCCAAAACGCTCGGTACGATGACGTCTGCTGTGTGACGTCACATACCATATTGGTGTGTGTTGGGAATAAATAAAAATAAATAAATAAATAGAATAATGTGTCCCATTATGTTTATGCCAAAAATAAGTAAAAATACTTTTAAAGTTCCCTAACTCAATGTTGTAAGTGTCAACATTTAAAACAAACAAAGGACACCCGGCATTTTGTGCCAAAGTTGTATACTTTTTTAATTTTTGAAGTTATACTTCTTTAGGCGCGTTATGAAAAAATGCTGACAGTGAAATTTTAAGATGCGCGCGCATCACTGTAACACAATATTTTAACAGCATGCGTTACTTTTGTGTTTTGTGTTTATCGCACATTAAGAAAATCTACCAACAAAATAGAAATAGAATCTCTATTTAGTGGGTGCTAACGACTGCATTGTGAAGGCCTATCAAAAGTATTTATTAATCTGGAACAACGGAACCAAAGCGCGATTCAGGAGACTACAGCGCCATCTCTTGACCATTGGTGTAGTAGAACCAAAAACCACATCTTTATTTTTTGTAATAAAGTAACAGTTATAGGTATTCATATTTATAATATTTATCCACGTTTCTAGTTTGTATATTCGGAATACGTGTTTGAGTTTCATACAAGTGCAAATCACATATTATGTTCTAATAAATTATATTCAGTAGCGATTTTAATTGAATATTTTGATTATTTATTTATTTTTTCAAATTAAAACTGAACTTTATTGACTGTGTCCTTTTCCAGACTTTTTTTTAATTTATTGTTATTAATTATTTGCATGCAATTAAAAACTAATTTTAAACGATGCCAAAGAAGGATAACTTCTCACGCGCCTACATAAGTACACGCACCCATTTTTTTTATCTGTGTTTCATAATTGGGTACCGTAGTCTGGCAATATTTATCATCAGGAGCTAGCTGTCAATGTCAAATACGTAGGTTTGTCATCAAAAGGGTTTCTATATCAAAAAATGGATGCGTGTAACTTATGTACGCGCGTGAGAAGTTATACTTCTTTAGCATCATTAAAATATTTTTTAATTGCATGCAAAAAATTAATAATTACAATAAAATAATAAGAGGACTGGAAAAGGATAGTTAACACAGTCAATTAAGTTCAGTTTTAATTTGAAAAATTAAATAAATATTCAAAATCTTCAATTAAACACGTTGTGTTCTTGACCTTCACAAGTGCTTGTAATTGCCTAGACTGAATAAATTTCATTTCGTTTCGTTTCGTTTCGTTTCATTTCATTTCATTTCAATGTCCCGTTCAAATCTGCCCCACGGTCACTTGGAAAATAAAATATTACAAATAACGCGCCCGCGGCTAACTTCATTATGTTAAAATTTTGTGTTACAGTGATGAAAATTTCACTCTCATAATTTTTTCATAACGCGGCTAAAGAAGTATAACTTCAAAAATATTAATCATTGAATAACTTCTTTCCACGTACACTAAAAATAAGGCAAAAGTAGTTTTATGTAGCAAATAATTTTGGCTTTATTTTGAGACCAAATTCAACTGTATACAAGTTTAGCATTTTTTCTATGAAAAGTGCCGGGTGTCCTTTCTCTATTTAAAGCTTTTTTAAAATTTCCAACTACAGTGTAAACTGCATGTAACGTCATTCGATTTAATGACGAACTCCCTAAAGCATCTAAATCACTCGTCTTTGGTTGGTTTACTTTGTTTTCTATACAATGATACACTCCATATGGCATTACACCCACTCTCAATAACGACAACAATGAGGGCTACCGTTTTCTGTCTCACCAGATGGCGCCACTGTTGAGTGAGGTCCTAAATTGTAACTTTTAAAGTTTATTAATACGCACATGAAATCAAAGGTTACATTTAGATCGTATTTTAACACAAAAGAACCATATCCTAAACATAATAGGCCATGCTACAGTGACGAGCAGTTCCGTTTTATGGGAACATAATCATTTTTCTAAGCTCAAATTTTTAATAACTGACATTCATTGTCACATAACTCATATTTGCTATAATTAAGCCGAATTGTTACCAATTATTCACAACATTATTTTAATTAGAAATAAACCCGCGTAGTCAACCAACAAGCAATAACATTTGACATTTCGGAGACCTCACGCTACACTAGCGCCTCTAGCGGCGGATTCATGCGCGATAGCCCTCATTAAGTAATAAAATATACATTTTTTGTTGCTAAAATTACTATTAATTAATTAGTTCTTTTGTCGCTTTATTATCCTAGCCCGTAATAAACTCGACTGTCGGCAACATGCAAACCAAACTTTCTAAGAAATTCTTTCTTTTGTTTACAAATTTGGATTGCACGTGTAGACTGTTGTTGACCATGACAAAAAAAATATAATCTCTTATCTATTAGACAAGTCCGTCCGTCCGTCCGTTTGTCTGTGGTGCTGTTTCAGCGGCCAAACCGTAAGAGATAGATAAAGAGAATATTTATGTTATAAGTTAAGAATAGTCTGATAAGACTACAAACCGGATTTGAGTAACGTAGCACTTCCGGTTTTCGAGAAATCACGAATTTCAAACGAAACCACACAAAATCTCCGAAGTTCTCAATTAATTAAATACATTTTTTTTTAAATCAGGTTTTGGTGAACATTTGGTTCACTGGTTTGCTAGTCAGTTTTTATTTTAGCATTTCTTTTATGTAAATTATTATTTTAGAGGAGCTCGATGGCCAGTGGCGGACTAACAGGGGGGCGGAAGGGGCGCCCCGCCCCGGGCCTCCGATTATGGGGGCCCCCAAATGCCACCGCGTTCCCCTGATCGCATCCTAAACTAGACTTTAAAAATGTGCTTAGTACCTACATAATTTCATCAAGATCAAAACACTACAGCCATCTAGACTTTTCCCGTCTCTGCAGCGGGTACTTCCTGTACGAATATGAATGAAGTACAAATAATTCACTCTTATACGCCTACATATTATAACATTCACTATATTTACGTCGAAAAATAAACATTGGCCTCGTTTAAAATCCGTTCAAAGTAACCTCATTAAAAAGTGTAATAGTGCTTTTGATTTTTGTTGCGGTATAAAAGTAAATGTCTTTTAGAGTTGAGTTAGTGCTTAAGTATTTGTAAAAAAGTAAGTAATTCTTCGTATAATTTAGCCTAGAAATCATAATCCGTAGTTTCTAGTCAATATGCACCTACGTTTCTAGTCAATATGTACCATATTGTAGGTATGTATGTTTATTTAGCTTAAATTATTTAATTGGAATTTAAATTTCACTCGCCAGATTTTAACGAAACAAACTAAGAAACTACATTTTTAAAGAAAAGTTTACTAGAAAAAAAATCCACGCGGACCAGGCAGCGGACGGTCGGACGGACGGACGGGTTTTTTCTAGTAAACTTTTCTTTAGATTTAAACATCTAACAGTTAAATGCTTAAAAAATAAATAAAATCATAACTATAATTGCTATTTCTTCTTTCAAATGTTTAATACTTGAAAAAGTATTCATTTGACATTGTGGGTTACCTACAATGCGAAGAGATGGCGCTGCCTTGCAGCTTAAGGCTAGGAAAATTTCGACGCGGCTAATAGGGCCGTGGTAGCATAATGGTCAGTGCATTCGCCCGGATAGCGAAGGATGCGGGTTCGAGTCCCGTCCGCTGCCTGGTCCGCGTGGATTTTTTTCTAGTAAACTTTTCTTTAGATTTAAACATCTAGCAGTTAAATGCTTAAAAAATAAATAAAATCATAACTACATTTTTTCTTTAAAACTGGGGGGCCTCATTTTGCCGCCCCGGGCCTCTGACGAGCTTAGTCCGCCACTGTCGATGTCGTAGATGGTTAGCGCGTTCGGCTGCGATCGTTGAAGTGAGGGGCCGTTCAAGTATTACGTAAGCAGATTTATTGCAATTATTTCCTCCCCCTTGTCAGCAAAAATAAGCAAAGCTCTTACCCCTCCCCCCCCATCCTTATAATCAATAATCAAAATCATTTATTCAGTTTAGGCTGTTACAAGCACATATGAATGTCTAGAAGCTACGCCATCGGTTCGTAAATCTACGGCGGGAGACCTTGTACTGAGAAGAACCGGCAAGAAACTCAGCAAGGGCTGTTTTTTTCTCCCTGTTTAATCATTTACAGAGTCGTCAGGTTGAAAAATGATTTCAGACATGATTCATGAAGTCACCCTTCATTACATAATGTGAAATTATACATTAATTGTACACCTGCATTTTGATTGCTGTGTCACACAGTATAAATACAAACAGAGTTATTTATAATAGGTGTAATTAAACATTTACATCTTAAATATCAAAGTAGTTAGGGCAGACTCATCTCCGCTGGCAGCACCCGTTCACGAGCATGACGCATGAACCAGCCATCGCTTCGCTCAACCATATTTTAGGGAACGTAACGACCCGCTTACGTCAACATTGGTACCTATATGCATTTTTCCTTTAATGTATTCTGTTTTTTTTTATTGATTCATGAGCTTTCATGAGCTTAATGAGCAGCAGTACTTAAAAAGGCTTAATCGATGATGCTGACGTAATCACCATCTCTACCCCCCACCCCCCCATGTCATCGAAAATAAGCAAAGCAAAGACCCCCTGCCCCCCTATAGTGCTTACGTAATACTTGAACAGTCGATCATTGGATGGGTGACCAAAAATCTTCTATCTCGAGTTCCTCCGTGTTTCGGAAGGCACATTAAGTCGTTGGTCCCGGCTGCATCTGTAGTCGTTAGCACCCGCCAATCCGCACTGGGCCCGCGTGGTGGGTCATGGCCCAATCTCCCTATTCCATCCAGAGGGAAGGCCTGTGCCCCAGCATTGGGGACATTAATAGGCTGGTGATGATTATTAATTTTGAGTAAAACACACTTACTTGGACTAATTCTGAGAGGATTTTTCTTCAAATTCGGTGAAAGCTTCTTTTGTGGTATTCTAGAAGTTTTCTCAGAGCTCTGTTTAGAAATGTTGCCAGCACTGAAAACTCTTTGAATGTTGCCAGTATTTAAAGTCTTCATACTACTTATAGTTGCTTTAGGTCGACTATTTTGATCAATTTTCTTAATAATTTTATTCTGAGTTTTCAGATTATTGCCTTGTGTCTGCTTGTTCACATTTTTCTGTTGATTTTTATCAAATTTATTGTTTGTAGCTTTATTTGTGATATCCGGTTTGGTAAGTTTTGTTTTTTTTGCAACGTCAACATTCGCATCGACATCTTTAGCAGTTTGCTCGGCCGAATCACTTTTTCTCTTGAGATTGGCACCATTTATGGTATTTTCTACGGGTTCCTGTACTGTACTCTGTTTATTTTTATCTTTATTTTTGTCTGTAATCTGTTTATTGGTCTCTTTAGTAGGATTTATTTTATCTTTCACTGGTTTAGCTGGAACTTTATTTTTAACACTTTTTGAAGTTTTATCAATATCGTTTGTTTGTTGTTTGGTTTTTATAATTTCGTTTTGTTTACTACTGACGGGTTTATTAGAAGCAGACATTTTAGTCATAGCTTTATTGTTGTCAAGTTTATTGTTGCCAGAATCGTCTTTAGATGACACCGGTTTTGTTTTGTCTTCGCTTTCTGAAACTTTCTGCTTTGCAATAATATTCTTATCGGTTTTAGTAATAGCATTAGTTTTGACTACTTTGTCTTTCGTATTACCATTCTTTATTTTATCATTGTTTTCATTATTAGAAGGCACTTTATGGGTTTGTTTTTCTTGTTCCGCGTTATTTGTTACTGCTTTCTTAGAATTAATAGCGTTTTTAACTTTTTCAATGTTGCCTGAATTTGGTTTACTTTTTAGAACATTTTGAACTGCGTTCGTTTTTGTAGCATCAATTTTGTCAGTTGCAACTTTTGATGCTTTACTCTTCTTCTGGGCAGTTACTGTTGTTTCCTTCTCTTTAGTATTTTTCATTGTAACAACATTTTCTTCGGCATTAGTCACCGGATTCGAACGTGCTTCGTCATTTTTAGGGCTTTTTTTGTCATTTTTATTAGCATTGCTCCCTTTAGATTTCTTTGCGTCATTATTTTTATTGTTCGCATCACTCTTTTGTTTATTTAAAGCTTTTTCTATGACATTTTCACTGTTTACTTTGTTTGGCTCCTTGTTTCCATCCGCTTTAGTTTTCTTGGCTTTGTTATCGATTTCTTCACCAGGTCTTTTAGGATTCTCAGCCATATTCTCTTTGCCTTTAGGTTTAGCTTTCTTTGGCAGAGATTTGGGTGGTGCCATAACTTCTTTGGCCTTTTTCTTGACAACTACGGGTGGTTCTTGTTCTTCAATTAAAGTAGTTCGTCTGTTCTTCAAAGATTGTGCCGTTTCTGGATCCGAAGACATACTTTCGTATAGCTCTTGGGTTGGACCTCTTGCTTCTAAGCAAGTTGATATGATTTTGGATAGTAACATAGTTCTTTCGTCAGTTTCTATAGTCGGATCTGATAGTTGGCGATGAGCTTGCGTTATGATTTTTATATAGCACTCGTCTGTAATAAGAAATTAGGTAAATAATTAATTCATTATAGAAAAGTTGCTACAATGATTTTATATGCAGTCAGTACAAATTGGTTATTATAAAAATCTTTCTACAGACCGGTATTATCCATGTATACTAATAATTATGAGAGTCTGTCTGTCTGTTGCTTGACGCTTCAACCGCTAGACCGATTAAGACGAAATTTAAAATAGAGATAGTTTGAGTCCCGGGAAAGGAGAAAGGATAGTTTTTATCCCAAAAATCCGATTTGACGACCTCCGTGGTCGAGTGGTTTGTACGCCGGTTTCCATGGTGTCGCCGACTCGAGAGGTCCCGGGTTCGTATCCCGGTAGAGGCAGATGTTTGTGTGATAAATACGAGCATTTGTACTCCAGTCATGGATATTCAATATGTATTTCTATATAAATATGCTTATACATGTACAGTATATGTATTCTATCCGATACCCTAGTATCCCATTACATAACACAAGCCATACAGTGCTTACTTTGGGGCTAGGTTAATAAGCTAGGTGACTCATGTCAAATTGCACTATACGTTTATTTCTTATAATTTTTGGTATGAGGAACCTAAATACATCGATTTCACTTCATAAAATTAGAAGATGGCTGTAGTAATTTAATTTGAAAAATAGTTTTATAGTCTATGCTTTTTAAACACTAAAAACGCTGTCCACCATAATTGTGACGTCAACATAATAGCAAAACAACTAAACGTTATTGTCGTGTTACTGTGGTTTCTTTCGTTCGACTAAAATATATCTAAAAACTCTTATATCTTGAAGAAACGTTTCCGTTTATTCGTTTTATTAACAAAATTAATGCTGGACGCCGGATTTGTGAAAGCAGAAACGACAAAACTCTTTGACTTAGCAGGTACATTCATAACCTTAAAATTTGAAACCACAACATTTCTGGAGTTTTTAACGATGTGTTTCTTTATTCTCGTATAATACAATGATGATAATTACTATATTTATCATTAAATCTATTAGAAATCATGGTTTTGTAACGTAAATTCAGATAGGTTATATCCTACGTGCTTGCGAGTGTTTGTTTATTTATGTTCTCGTCATAACATAGATAATCTATAGACTAAAATGGCCGACAGCGTTTTTGTATGTCCATGAAAAATCTATTTTAAAATTAAAGTTTTGTAGCTTTCTAGGTAAAAAAACATTACAATACATTTTTTTTTCGGTCTAATTGAACTATTATTAACCATTTAAAACATATTTCCAAAAAGTGTCAACTAGCCTATTGGTGTGAGTGTTGGAAATATTTATTTATTATTATTTATTTAATCCTCCTATAAGGGGGTCGAAAGGGAAAGTTAGTATGAGAAACCCAATTTTTTCACGTAAACCAAATCTCAGATGTACTATATAACACAAAATAAATGGTTTTTTCACTCATCTAAACAAAATTACTAAACTAAAGGAAAACTTTACTAAGAACTAGATCTTTTTCATGATTTTTTTTTCTTTCAGGTCATAAACTATATGCGTACCAAATTTCATCCAAATCCGTTTAGTAGTTTTTGCACGATTGAGTATCAAACATACAAATACACAAACTTTTATTTATGATATTAGTGGGATATGTTGAAGAGCTCTATGGCGCAGTGGTCAGCGCGTTCTGTCTGCGATCTTGGAAATTCACTTTAAAAATGGCCGGTTGTTCGATGGGTGACCAAATATACTTTCTTATGATGGGGATATGATATGAGGAGCTCAATAGCGCGGGTGGTTAACGCGTTCAGCTGCGATCGTTAAAGTTAAGCTACTTTCGCAGTAGTCGATCAGTGGATGGGTGACCAAAAATCTTCTATCTCTCACTCCTCCGTGCTTCGGAAGGCACATTAAGCCGTTAGTCCCGGCTGCATCTGCAGTCGTTAGCACGCCAATCCGCACTGGGCCCGCGTGGTGGGTCACGGCCCAATCTCCCTATTCCATCCATAGGGAAGGCCTGTGCTCCAGCAGTGGGGACATTAATAGGCTGATGATGATGATGACGAAATGATTAATACAATAAAATTATACTAGAAAAAAAAACACTTTGTCCTTGGCAGTGTCAAACTTCTTCATCAACACGATTCGATCCATAGGGAACTGTGCACCAGCAGTGGGGACATTAATAGACTGATGATGATGATAATGAATAACAATATTGTAGGAAGGCCAAAGGGGAAGATCTTCCTCCAAGCTGGGTGATGGTAGCTCGGGGGCCGCGGTCCGACTGATGTTGGTCGGGCATCGTATATATGAAGAGTTAGCTTCCGAATTTCATTTGCGCGATGTAGGCTTCCATACTATTATTGATCGCAGTGCAGGTAACGCCATCTCTTGAGGATGGTGAGTAATGATTTCCTCCATCCGTTGTCTATATGTGGGGCATATAGATGTCGCCGCCACAATATTAAATAAAACAAGCGTGAGGTATTTAAAAACCTTCATTGGTCTGAAATAACAAATTGGTATCGTAAGCGATAGCCATTGCAATCCTGTTAGGCGATTGCCCCTTGCTCCGAGCGGATATTTTTCTAGTAAAACTTTGTAGATACAATGACATGTTAAACTAAATACCACATTTCTAAAATTTCATTATTTTCTTAACTACAGAAGTAAGAGATATAAAAAAAACGACGGGTTGCAGTGCCGGCAGAAGTAAAAACTTGAATATTAACGTTGTGCATTTTTGATATTTTAGAATGGTTAGGGAATATTTTTGCACGAATTGCTTTAATTATCAGTATAAAAGTACTATCATGTATGTGGTAGAATACAATATTTATTTATTGCGCTATCGTACACAAACATGACAATTTATATTACATTAAAAAACTTTATCTCTCAGAAAAATCAACTTACATGAATCACGTTTAAGCGCACTTAGCGACATCTATTGTAAAGAAATCAACTTACATGAATCACATTTAAGCGCACCTAGCGACATCTATTGTAAAAAAAATGCATTTTCTTCGCAATAAAGCTGCCACATGGACGTCCTAGATAGAGACGTATTATTATAATACGATAAAATAAAATATTACTATGTTTCATCCAATATATTGAAAGTCAACAACCTTTCTAATTTTATTGTGTGTCATGATGCGATCAGCCCACGTGTTTAACCTGACGCGAGTTTAACAATTTTCACCCATACAAAAAAAGTGTATAAAGCCGCTACAGAAGTTTTCACTTCAAAAATTAAAAACAGCTTTTATGGTAAATTTTTTTTGAAAAGTTTTCTTTTCGAAACTATTTCTTGTGTACTCAAAAATTATTGGAATTTCAAAAGTGTGATACTAAATTTTGCAGGTCAGTGTATATCCATAAAGCAATTCATCATCATCATCATCAGCCTATTAATGTCCCCACTTCTGGGGCACAGGCCCTCCCTATGGATGGAATAGGGAGATTGGGCCATGACCCACCACGCGGGCCCAGTGCGGGTTGGTGGGTGCTAACGACTGCAGATGCAGTCGGGACCAACGGCTTAACGTGAATTCCGAAGCACTGAGGAGCTCGAGATAGTAAATTTTCGGTCACCCATCCAATGACCGACCACTGCGAATGTTGCTTAAATTCAACGATCGCAGCCGAACGCGCTAACCAGCCGCGCCATCAAGCAGTTAAATGCTATTAAATAACAATATAATACTGACCCATATACTCCAAGTCGAATTTCATGCGATGATGGAAAGCTGCTATGGGAGACCATTTGTTCTGCAACGTCCATGATACTTCTAGAAGATCAGCACATTTCAATAGGTAACCGCCTTCGGGCTGAAAATGGAAAAATGGAAATGTAATGGCATTTTTCAATTTGACGACTCTGTATATAATACAGGGTGAAAAAAACAGCCCTTGCTGAGTTTCTTGCCGGTTCTTCTCAGTACAAGGTCTCCCGCCGTAGATTTGCGAACCGATGGCGTAGCTTTTCGACATTCACAAGTGCTTGTAACAGCCTAGACTGAATAAACGCTATTGAATTTTGTATTTTTGAATTGAAGAAAATTACACTTTTAGTTTTCGGACCAATTGCAGCAAATTCTACCGACTATACCACGGCGAGTGTTCTGAGGAGTTATTCTCCCTTATCCCTCCATCACCTTTTCTTCAGAGTACCATGCGCGCTGGCCTACGTTGCCACCGACTTACTGTGGCCACTATTCCTACACGAACAAAGAAATTTGGTGACTCATTTCTTTGTCCTACTATTCGTAAGTGGAATTCTTTGGCCGCGCACGTGTTCCCTCCTTTCTATAATCTAGGGTACTATAAGAAAGGCGTGAAGAAGCATTTTTGCAGGCCTGCAATGTGAGGATGGTTGGTGTAGCAGTTTATAACTGCTGTACCAGCTACCTTCGCGTTTGGACTTTATCATCACTTTACATCAGGTGGGGTAGAGTCATTTGCCTACCTCGCTATAAAAAAAAATGCTAAATCTCGATTCGACTACAACTAGATTTAACTCGTAGAAAAATGTCAAGTAATCAAGGTCCTGCCACAAACGTGCACACATTAAAGCTGTTCTTTTGTTTCGATTCAAATTAGAATGTTTATCTAACAAAATCTCGTACATATGTACGTCCGGCACGAACATATGTACGAGATTTTGTAAGATAAATGTATAACATGATTTTTCATTGTAGGCAACACTTTGGAGCGAGTAAGTGAGTTTTTTTTGGCGGGATTTCATCGTGTGCGGTTGGCGTCTTATTTTAATTATTCTTAATTTCGTTCATAGTGGACATTGTGAAATAAAATTGGTGTGATTTTGTGTGACAGCCATCTGCGCAACTGAAGAATTAGTGGAATCTTTAAAATATACGCTATTCCCAACGATATTAAATACCCTAGATACACCAACACGAACAAAATCATGCCCGAAACCTGTCCAAAAGGTACATTGGACGATCCACGGAGCTACGTAAGATAATGATAAACATTGAAAATCACCTTTAAAGCACACTGTATAATGTCCTAATTAAAACGCATGCGTCAAAGAGTTATGACAGTCCACGATGTAGGCTGGTGAAATTTTACGACTTATTGCTATATGCAGAAGAATATAGCCCTTATTTCTTTGACTCTACCCGCAATTCTGAATGCGCTGTTAGCAATATAGCAGGTACGGACCGCGAAGAAAAGGGACGGCTATATTCCCGAACATGCATTTGAGTATCACAAAAAAAATCTATTAAATTAGTTTATAGTAAGTACTAAAACAAATTTTGTTTCAAATGCGTTGAATTAACAAACACTGATTAGAAACCTGTCGAAAAAACGACATTTTACATAATATATGTATTCATTTCGCATTTTTTCACGGAGCTTAGTGGCATGTTGACTTTTCAAGGGTGCACGCGTGACTGTGAACCAAGAAGTGCTTGAGTCGTGTTCAAGCACTTCTTGATCGGGACACATTTTTAGCGCTCGTGGTGTATCTAGGGTATTTAATATCGTTGGCTATTCCGGTCAAGTGGACGTGAGAACTTTATTGTAGTGTTGACTACCTCACAAAAGCTTATCGAAAAAACCAACTCGACACATTTCGTGCCAAACACTCCAAGAAACATTGTAACGTAAATAAAAAAAAGAAAATTAAGATTTGTATTTATGTATACGACTGAAGGACTTGTATCCATGGCCATGAATAATAGGGGTGATGACGGGGTACATTAAACGAAATTCTATTAAGTCCGTCAGTTAGATGATCAAAAAATAATGGACACGTATTTTTTCTTTGGGCAATCAACCAAAAAATGACAAAGTTATAGCGCGTCAAAGTTTGGGAGTAGGGGCTCGTGACGTCACTTTTGAGTGAATTTTCCCTTATAAGTGTACTCAAACGTGACGTCATGCGACTTTTCAAATCAATATATCTCTGCAATGTTTATATTATGTGAAAAAAGAAAAAATACGTGTCCAATACTTTTTGATAATCTACCTGATAAACGAAGAAAAAAAAATAGTTATCATCCCTATTAAAAAAAACCCGGAAGTATCCAATCCAGTCTTTGTTTATTATAATTTTTATTTTAAGCATTTCGCTACTAGAAGTTAGAAATAAAGAAAATTTCACTGGAAATACATTTCTTTACAATCCATGGTTGTTAGTTGATCGAGAAAATCGTGTACGAAGTTTAAAAGCCACATTACCGAGATTTTTGGCAACACCAGTACGAGGAAAAGAAGTTTTTCTTCTTATAATAAACTAGCAAACCAGTGAACCAAATGTTCACAAAAAAATGGTTGCCTGTAAAGTCGGTTTTACGGGCGAAGATTTTACGTGACAACGTCTTTTTCTCGGTAGAATATTTATTGATATGAATATAATTAAATTGCACAATAGGAACAAGGAATTGAATGAAAATAAGAATTGCACAAATTTTAACTATAGAAATATATTTTGTTTACTAAAACATTGTACATGTAAACTTAAACTTAACACGAGAGACTCATCGTAACGTTACCGAGCGTTACACTTTTTCATAAGTGACTCCCAGCCGCAACCTAATTTAAGACGTTGTCACGTCAAAAAAAATGTATTTAATTAATTGAGAACTTCGTGATTTCTCGAAAACCGGAAGTGCTACGTTACTCAAATCCGGTTTGTAGTCTTATCAGACTATTCTTAACTTATAACTTAAACATTCTCTTTATCTATCTCTTACGGTTTGGCCGCTGAAACAGCACCACAGACGGACGGACGGACGGACTTGTCTAATAGATAAGAGATAATCTTCTATCTAATCTTATATTCTTTTATTTTTTTAAGCATGTAACTGCTTGATGTTTATATCTAAAGAAAATATAACTAGAAAAAAAACCACGCGGACAAGGCAACAGACAGTTACATGCTTAAAAAAATAAAAGATTATAACTATAATTGCTATTTCTACTTTCAAATGTTTAATACTTGTAAAAGAATTAATTTGACATTGTGGGTTACTTACAATGCGAAGAGATGGCGCTGCCTTGCAGCTTAAGAATGGCTAGAAGAATTTCGACTTGGCCATCAGGGCAGCGGTAGCATAATTGGTCAGTGCATTCGCCCGGATAGCGAAGGGTCCGGGTTCGAGTCCCGTCTGCTGCCTGGTCCGCGTGGAATTTTCTCTAGTAAAATTTTCTTTAGATTTATACAAATACTTACCATGGGTTCCATATGCAAGAAATCTGGATATTTCTTGACGAGTGACGCAAGTGTGGTACGTCTTGAACGATGGCCCACCGCATAGTTCTTCAATACCTGGCAAAGAAAATTTATACTTCAAAAGGTTCTTGGTTCGTTTGGTAGTCAAGGTATATGTTCATCATCATCATCAGCCTATTAATGTCCCCACTGCTGGGGCACAGGCCTTCACTATGGATGAAATAGGGAGATTGGGCCATGACCCACCACGCGGGCCCAGTGCGGATTGGCGGGTGCTAACAGATGCAGCCGGGACCAACGGCTTAACGTGCCTTCCGAATCACGGAGGAACTCGAGATTGAAGATTTTTGGTCACCCATCCAATGACCGACCACTGCGAAAGTTGCTTAACTTCAATGATCGCAGCCGAACGCGCTAACCACCTGCGCCATCGAACTCCTCTAGGTATATTATTATGTTACTATAGTAAAATACCAAAGGAAATAATTAATTTACCTTTTATTAAGTTAAAACTGTGTATCAAAACTTGTCTTCTTTAGAAGGGTTTGAGATTTCTTAAGAGCCCTTTTACAAATTTGCGCCGCTGCCGTACTGATCGGCGCGTAGGTAGATTTGCACTAGTATATATTAGGAATGTCGAAAGTTGAAAAAAATATCGATATATTGATACATCGATCTTTTAAAAAATATCAATATCGGCTTCGATATATCGCGAAAAAAACCTCGATATATCGATATATCAGACCAATTTTCCCAAAAATATCGTACAGTATCACGAAATATGACACGCGGAATAATAATGGAATGAAAATTATCTCCCTAAAAATAGACCTTATTTTCGAATGATGAAAATGATTGCAGGGTCTCTTTCGTAAACAAGACTAGACAGTCACACACTTCACAGAATATAATGGAAATCAGCACAACCAATTCACCAGCGAAACAGATTTACAAATAATAGACAATACTAAATACAGCACAGATCATAGATATGTTGAATATCATTAATCTGAGATCCAGTTACGACTTTTCCAGATACGAATTTAGTTAGATCGTGATATGCCGCTAATAATTAAAAAAATATCGTTTTTGATACGAATTTCGATATTGGTTATTTGGTATCGATATATCGAATCAAAATATATCGGCAAAAAATATCGATATATCGAACAAAAAATATCGATACATCGATATATTTTCAACAAGCCTAGTATATATATTGCATTTTACGGGTGATGTTTGGAGTCCTATAAAATAATTATTAATGAACTAATTATAAAAATATATACATAAGTATATTTCAGTAGTTCAATGATGGTAGATTAGTTTTATGAAAGTTTTTGATAGTAATTCTATTTAATTCAATATCAAAATACGAGGTAAACTTGCATTGTTTTTTGGGCAAATTCTCGGAGGTTAGATGATTTTTTTGATAATTAATGAGATGGAAAATCAAAATTCTAATACATTATGTTACAACATATTTCTGATGTCGTAGTATTTAATTTGATCTAATTTATTGAACATTATTTAGAATTCAGGCGTTTGAAGTTGTGCATATTATAGTTTTCTTCCGTAAACTAGTTGCGGTAGAACGATCAGTACAAAAAAAGGAAAATAGTATTTGCAAATATTCTACATTAACTTACACTAGGAAAAATAAATCTACTGTTTACTTCTATTGGAAATAGTCAAAATCTTGTCTAAGGGGGTAAACGAGGCGCTCAAAAATTACGATTTTTTGCAAAAAATGTGAAAGGGCTCTTAAGTTGTGGATTAGGAAAATCATGCCAGTATCAGTAAATCATAAAACGTCACTGACATATATGTCATAAAAATGGCAGGCGTTTTGTTACAATTTTCCTTAACTTACTTCAACGACAAATATGTTGTGAAACAAGGGTACATTTTTTAAGTCGACATATTTGACTAAATATCTGTAATTCTTGACATGAGACCATGGCCGTATAATAATAATAGTAACCTTTATTTCTCACCATAATCACAATGTTCACAATGTTGGTATTAATGGCTACATAAAAACAATGATACAAAAAGCATGCATTTTTTTTACCAAAAATAAAAGTTACGTATTGATCAGCTTATGGTGGGTTGACACCTGAACTAGGATGAATCCTGTGTCTCAGGTAATCAACCCTCCACCCTATTCATAAAGTTGTGTACCATTTAGTAAACAATTTATTAATCCAGATAACTGTTCTTAAGTTATTAATTCAATGGAATAGTCAAAGGAGGAGGAGGTGTGTGTGTGTGTGTGTGTGTGTGTGTGTGTGTGTGTATGTGTGTGTGTGTGCATCTTATAATGTTTAACTTATTATTTTTTACGTTATTATCAGATTTACGTTACAATTAAAGTGTTTCATTGTTATTTACAAAATTACTCTCCGCGAAAGCTTTAAAAGATGAGTTCTTATATGGAGATTTTTAAAGAACGAATTCTCCTCTGATGTCACTCATTTTGCGTTCAAACAAAAAGACCTCACAAACAAAAAAAAACGGCCAAATGCGAGTTGGACGCGTTCATGAGAAAAGAGATAGAGACTTTAAAATTTTCAATAATATTTTTTATTATAGGTAGGATGTAACTAAAAATTTACGGTTTCAAAATTTCAAGATGTAGCTGTATTTTTTGATTGCTTTGGCTTAGAAGTTTGATTTTTTCACAGCTCCAAGGGACAGTAGACATGAGTATTAGATATGAATTTCAGTTTGATACCTTCACGCGTTCCTGAGAAAAACGGTCTTGACAGACGGACGGACGGACAACAAAGTACGTACGTACACTATAAGTGTTCCGTTTTTTCCTTTTGAGGTATGGAACCCTAAAAACCATCGAAACTTTAACTAATGAAATCAGTAAAGTAAATAGATCGCCCCACAACAATCCGTCGGCTTACATACGTCAGTGACAAATGTCGACTTGGTAAAAAAAATAAGACCCTCTTTCATGCCAATAAAAAAATCGTGAAACTCATGTCACATCTCACCTCAACGGCATCACTGGGCGTAGTGACCGTGGCGAGAATCGAACCGGCGACCTCAGCCTCGTGTGCCGGCCGCGTGCACGACGTTTTGAGACCACGGTACCGCCACGCACCGAACTGACCTACCTACAAAAATACATATAATAAATGTGTCTATATGTCTGTTAGTCTGTTAAAGTGTCCTCTTCACACTTGAGCCACTGAACCGATTTAGACGGAATTTGATATAGAGATAGATTGAGCCCCGGGCAAGGATATAGGATAGTTTTAACCAAGAAATTGTCCTTTAAGGGCGCGAAAAGAAGGGTGACTTTTGAGGGAGACTAAATCGAATGTGGCGTAAGCAAAAACTTGACCCGCCATTAATTCTGATAGTAAATATTGGTATTTTAGGGGATAACCTAACTAAAATTCCTAAGAGATAAATTAAACACTTCATAAAATTCACTACGTATATTGCCCAATGCACATATAAGAAATATTTACTTTTGCGATACAAAGTACTAAATTCTATAGTGAGCTAGCGAGGCTGAAGTTCCATATATGACAAAGCCAAGCCAAGCCACTGAGTCGCACAGGTCGGGTTTGCTAAATTAACAATAGGGTATTTAACAGTATTAAAAATGAAGTGCCAATTGTTCAAGGGCGGATCCAGGGGGGGGGGTCATGGGGAGGGGGTCGGGTTTGCTAAATTAACAATAGGGTATTTAAGAGTATTAAAAATGAAGTGCCAATTGTTCAAGGGCGGATCCAGGGGGGGGGGGGGGGGGGCCATGGGGGGCACGGGTCGGGTTTGCTAAATTAACAATAGGGTATTTAACAGTATTAAAAATGAAGTGCCAATTGTTCAAGGACGGATCCAGGGGGGGGGGGGGGGGTCATGGGGGGCACGGGTCGGGTTTGCTAAATTAACAATAGGGTATTGAAGAGTATTAAAAATGAAGTGCCAATTGTTCAAGGGCGGATCCAGGGGGGGGGGGGGGGGTCATGGGGGTCATGACCAAACCCAGGGGGATTTTATTTAAGTACTTTCAATATTTAATATACCACGACTATATGACCCCCCCCCTGGCGCCAAAGCTGGCAATATGACCCCCCCCTGGCGCCAAAGCTGGATCCGCCCTTGCAATAGTTAGCATCTGTATTTAGAATGAATATTGACAGGGGTTTTTACTATTTTTACAGAAAAAAAAACATAATTTTACTAAAAACCCACGAAAAAGATATTTAAATAGTTTTCTTATCCATTGTCACGTGATCGAAAACCAGACGTAAACTGGTAAACTCCCGGTCAAAGTGACATTACACTGTATCGTTTGACGTTTCAATGACAGTCGTGTGACGTCACATACCAGTGAGACGCCATATTGTCCAGAGATACATTTTCGCGGCAACTTGAAAATGCGAGTTTTTGATTGTTATTTTTACTGAAATACACAACAGAACAATGAATATCCACTGTTTACGGACTCCATAAATATTAGTAAATAACGTGAGGTCGTTTTCTAAAACATGTCTAATACTCTATTTGCTAACAATATATAAGGAAAAAGTTTGCCTATTCCTGGGGGCCTACTGCCTATCGGAATAGGGGTGATGACGGGGTACAGTAAGCGAAATCCTATTTAGTCCGTCAGTTAGATGATCAAAAAATAATGGACACGTATTTTTTCTTTGGGCAATCAACCAAAAAATGACAAAGTTATAGCGCGTCAGTTTGGGAGTAGGGGCTCGTGACGTCACTTTTAAGTGAAAATTGTACCAAAACGTGACGTCATGCGACTTTTCAAATCAATATATCTCTGCAATGTTTATATTATGTGAAAAAAGAAAAAATACGTGTCCAATACTATTTGATAATCTACCTGATAAACGAAGAAAAAAAAATTAGTCATCATCCCTATTGTTCCTTCTTTCATATGTTTAATACTTGTAACGGTATTCATGTGACTTTGTGGGTTGCCTACAATGCGAGAAGATGGAGCTGCCTTGCAGCCTAAGGAGTACTAGAGAAAATTCGGTAGCATAATGGTAAGTGCAAACGTCCGAATAGCGAAGATTATTATAATACTTACCGCCTGATGCACGTAAAATGAAATTGAGAACAATACGAGGTCCACTCGGCAGTCCGCTGTCACCTCGCGCCATACGCCTTGTTCCGTCACTGGTAGTTCACTGGCAAACAAATAAAAAAATTTAAAAATCTTCAATGAGGATGGCATGACGAACGCATGACAGACTTTAGAAGTGATAACTTTTGAAGGGGGGGTATACTGCTTCGTTACGTAACGCGTTACGGCGCCAGTCTGTCTGGCTTCCTGTTCCTGTTCTGGCTTTTAGTTTAAGTTATCACTTTTGTTGTGCTTTTTTGCCTTGTGTTATGTATATTTACACAGTCAGGTCATAAGTATTGTCACACAGTAAAAACTTTTCTTTTAGAATGCTGGCCACAAAAAAGTTTATTGAATTCGAATTTCGAATTGTTCATGAAAAAAAAATGTATACTTTTTAGAATTTTACTCATTTTTAAATATGGAGTGGACGCTTAAAGAATACCGTGTTGCAGTTATTGCGTTGCATCGTTGCGGTTACGCGCCAATTCAAATTTATGACATACTGAAAAATTTTAATATAACCAAAAGATTCGTTTATCGTACCATCAAACTATACAATGAAGACTCTAGTGTAGATGACAGGTCAAGAAGTGGTCGCCCTCGGTCTGTTAGGGCATGACCACCGAAACGGGATATGATAAAGCGATATATCTGCCTTAACTGTCAGATTACTATAGACTTTGACAGTAGTTTGACAGTTAATGGCGATATATCGCTTTATCATATCCCGTTTCGGTGGTCATGCTAGAGGGGCAGCAGTGATAAAAGCTGTGAAGGCGCGAATTCAAAGAAATCCCAAACGTAGGCAGAAACTGTTGTCGGCAGAACCACGGTGAAAAGGGTGTTAAATGAAGACTTAGGGCTTCGGGCATATCGAAGAAAAATAGGACATCGTTTGAATGCTCGTTTAATGGACCTGAGACTGAAGAGATGCCGCGCTTTGTTTAAGCGGTACCTACGCGGGAAAAAAATATCGGGAAATTCTTTTTTCGGATGAAAAAAATTTTACCGTAGAAAATATCAAACAAAGTGATAAGGTGTACGCACACAGCAGTGAAGAAGCGAGCAACCGTATTCCGCGTGTCCAACGAGGTCATTTCCCATCCTCGCTCATGGTATGGTTGGGAGTTTCTTATTGGGGCTTAACAGAGGTACATTTTTGTGAGAAAGGTGTAAAAACGAATGCAGTTGTGTAACAAAATACAGTCCTGACGAACCTTGTGGAACCTGTTTCTCATACCATGTTCAATAACAGGCACTGGGTATTCCAACAAGATTCGGCGCCAGCTCATAGAGCGAAGAGCACACAAGACTGGCTGGCGGCGCGAGAAATCCACTTCATCCGGCACGAAGACTGGACCTCCTCCAGTCCAGATTTGAGTCCGTTATATTACAAGATATGCAACACTTGGTGGAAAAGGCGTGCCCAAAGCCTCATCCCAATTTGGAATCACTCAAGACATCCTTGATTAAGGCAGCCGCCGATATTGACATGGACCTCGTTCGTGCTGCGATAGACGACTGGCCGCGCAGATTGAAGGCCTGTATTCAAAATCACGGAGGTCATTTTGAATAAACTTTATTGTCATAAGAATCTATGTTTTGTTAAGTTCATTTTGGTATATAAATGGTTACATAATGAATAAACTTGTTTCAATTTTTTTATTGAAGTTATACTTCTTTAGCCGCGTTATGAAAAAATTATGAGAGTGAAATTTTAAGATGCGCGCGCATCACTGTAACACAAAAGTAACATAATGAAGTTAGCCGCGGGCGCGTTATGAAAAAATGATGAGAGTGAAATTTTAAGATGCGCGCGCAACACTGTAACGGAAAAGTAACACCATGAAGTCGGCCGCTAAACCGCACATTACTCGTAAGTCTCGAAAAAAAGCTTCCAACAAAATAGTAATAGGATCTCTTAGTCGCACATGTTGGGACGCTCGTCGCCTCTGATCACTGTTTTCATATTTATAATATTTATCCACATGTTTCTAGTTTCTATATTCTTAACACGTGTTATAATGTTATACAAATGCGAAATTTATATGTGCTAATAAATTTTATTCAGTAGTGATTTAAATTGAATATTTTGATTATTTATTAAATTTTTCAAATTAAAACTGAACTTTATTGACTGCGTTGACTATCCTTTTCCAATCCTTTTATTATCTTATTGTAATTAATTATCTGCATGCAATTAAAAACTATTTTTTAATAATTCCAAAAAGAAGTATAACTTCTCACGCGCGTACTTAAGTACACGCACCCATATTTTTATGTAACATGTGACAGAATTTTTGACCTGACTAGGTATATACATGTATACACGTTTTGATCCATAATTACTTAGAAATGAAATCAGAAATCAATATATCATTATTCAAATTGGATGAGTACAACTCTTTTAAATCGTCCATACACTTTTTTTTCCTTACCACTCGTTATTGGACATATTTTTAACTGTGAAGAAAAAAAGTCCACAACCTAAGTAAGAAGTATAATATAACATTTACAAATCATTATGTTGTTACAACGTCAATATAATCACAATGTGATTTATATAATATAGAAAACCTGTTGTAATGATTGGAACAGTTCAAACACAAGCATTTTTGTCCGTAATATAATCAGATACTTTGAAATACGCTTTTTTAATAAGTGTTTTTTATACTATCTTTGAATTTATTTATGGTTAACTCTTGGATATTGCTTAGGACTTTATTGTATAAGCAAACACAGAGACGTTACGAGAAACTAGATGGCGCAAAAGGTTAGCGCGTTCGCCTGCGATCGTTGAAGTTAAGCAACTATCGCAGTGGTCGGTCATTCAATGGGTGACCAAAAATTTACTATCTCTAGCTCCTCCGTGCTTTGGAAGACAAGTTAAGCCGTTGGTTTCTCTGCATCTGCAGTCGTTGGCACCCACCAATTCGCACTAGGCCCACGTGGTAGGTCATGGCCCAATCTCCCTATTTCATCCATAAGGAAGGCCTGTGCCCCAGCAGTGGGGTCATTAATAGGCTGATGATTTTGACGTTACGGGCCCCCTACTCCCAAAATTAAAAGCTGTCTTTGTAATTTTTTGGTTGATTAACAAAAGAAAACATGTCAATTATTTATTGATAATAATCTAACTGAAGGACATAATTGAATTTGGTTTATTTCACCCGTCATGACCCCTATTCTACATGGGCCTGATTACTAGTATTTCCTAGAATCTTTATAGGTAAAAAAAAACGTCAGTTTAACTCGCTTAAAATAAAAAAATAATATCATAAACTTAATTGCTAATTTAATTAATTAATTATGGTTCTTTTAGAGCCCATCTATCCGCGCCCTAAGAAGACTCTGAGGCGCTTTGCAGACGGCGGGGCGGAGCGGGGCGGTCAATTTCGCCGCGAACGATAGCACAAAGTGAATCCTATACTACAAACGCACACAGAGGGCAAAGAGACCGCGCCGCAGGTGCCCGGCGGGCACTGGCGACACGGCATGTCCGCGGCATACAAACCAGTTTATATGCAGTAACGCAGACGGCGGCGCGGGGCGGTTAGCTCAGTCCGCGCCACGCGCTTTTTAGTGATGGACTATTCACTAGAACGAACGTCCTGAACTGACTGCCTCTGCCCGTCGTGTGCTTTGTGTACGCGGCGAGGGCAGCCGCAGACATCGACGGGCATACGCGGTTTTTATTGCTTTGCGGACAAAAAGCCCGCCCCGCCCCGTCGTCTGCAAAGCGCCTTAACAGTGAGGCTTACATTATGACTCATGGTCTTAAATATAACGCGGCTAAAAGTGAGCTCCTTGTATTTGGCGTAGGCTCGAAAAAACCGGCCGTTGTTCCCCCTGTGACACTGGGTGGTGTGGCACTCAAACGTGTCACAGAGTTTAAGTACCTCGGACATGTGGTCACTGAGGACTTGAAAGATGACTCAGATATTGAGAGAGCACGGAGAGCGTTGGCCGCTGCAACATGCTGGCTCGCAGGCTTAGATTAAACAAAAAGGCTAGATACGGTACGCTCATACTTGCATCAAACAAAAACTGATCCCACGGCAGCACTAACGGGACGGCGAGATCCGCGTTACTGCATTACCGACCCGAACGAAACAGCACGTTAAGTTTCAACGGCAGCGCAAACGAGACGGCGAGATCCGCGTCACTGCATTACCGACCAATCAGGCGACCAGTACTCGACGTAAGATTCAAAATAAACAACAATTTTTATAAAAATATATTTTATAGTACTTGCGAATGAAAAGTGATGCCGTGGGTTTTATTTTTAGTTCTTGAGCAATTTGAGCACTTTTTAAAAACACACTTAGGGATTGTTTTATCATATAAACACAAAATATTAGCAATATTTCTTTTTGGCGTTCACATGTACGTCGTTTGCATGTCAAGTTGTGACTAAAGCGATTAGGGTCGTGGACCACAATTGGTGAGGATCACTTTTGTGAGGCAAGTGGCGTATCAACCCTTTTTGTTTTAATCTAAGCTCGCAGGTTCGCTCGCTGTACTGCAGATATTAAAATTACCTTGTCCAAGGCCTACTGCCAGTCTTTGTACACGTGCGCCCTAAGGGTCAGATATACGCAGCAGACATACAACGCTATCTGTGTCCATTAAAATAATGGATTGAGGATGTTGTTGGGGCTCCCACGCTACTGCAGTGCATCGGGTATGTTCGCAGATGCCCACTTAGACGACTTCCCTTCAGTGATGCGCAAGAGAATGAGGGCTACCGTTTTCTGCCTCACCAGATGGCGCCACTGTTGAGTGAGGTCCTAAATTGTAACTTTTAAAGTTTATTAATACGCACATGAAATTAAAGGTTACATTTAGATCGTATTGTAACACAAAAGAACCATATCCTAAACATAATAGGCCATGCCACAGTGACGCCCAGTTCCGTTTTATTCGGAAAAAATGGGAACATAATCATTTTTCTGAGCTCAAATTTTTAATAACTGACATTCATTGCCACATTACTCATATTTGCCATAATTAAGCCGAATTGTTACCAATTATTCACAACATTATTTTAATAAGAAATAAACCCGCGTAGTCAACCAACAAGTAATAACATTTGACATTTCGGAGACCTCACGCTACACTAGCGCCTCTAGCGGCGGATTCATACGCGATAGCCCTCATTGCATCGTTGATGCACAGGGTTTGTGGGAGTGCCAACAGTTATCGGGAAAAACCCAGAGTGTGCCATTCTGAGGCACTGGGTATATATACACGTTCATGTGACCGTTGCCTCAGAAGGTATATATATGAAATAACTTTGTTTTAAAATATACTAACATAGTTTTTAAGGTTTGATTATTACTAACATTTCTATGGATCTAGTATCTGAAATAACACATTATTATTATTACTAGCAAACCAGTGAACCAAATGTTCACCAAAAAAAAAATGTATTTAATTAATTGAGAACTTTGGAGATTTTGTGTGGTTTCGTTTGAAATAGAAATCACGTGATTTCTCGAAAACCGAAAGTGCTACGTTACCTACTCACATCCGGTTTGTAGTCTTATCAGACTATTCTTAACTTATAACTTAAACATTCTCTTTAACTATCTCTTACGGTTTGGCCGCTGAAACAGCACCACGGACGGACGGACGGACTTGTCTATTAGATAAGAGATTATTAAACATTTATCTGGGTCAAAAATGAAAATAGTAGTTACCCCTCAAACACTGGGTCCTCTGTAAGCACGTTGACCTGGGACTGCAGCACTTGCAGGCCCGTCAACTCCTCTGTCGCTTGCAGGCATGTCCGCAGTGAGTTCTGCTGCTGTCTTAGCTGTTGTAAACTTGGACCAACGTGCACTTTTATGGGTAACTCTGAATCTGAGTCTGAACTGGAACAATTTAAAGTGGATTAATTGAAATAAAATGTTTATGTGTAAAATTGTCTAGATATTTTGTTTTGTCTGTGTAAGTGTTATGTTAATATTGAAGATTAGTGGTTTGAATTTGAACCCATGTTTTTGCAGCTTTTGTAGGGAGTTATGCTTTTATATATATATCATGTCTTAGTCGTTGCGTGTTCATAGTATTATTATATATATGAAAGTATTTTACTCAACCATGCAAAATATTCTATAGGGATGAAAGTATATGTGTGCCACATTTCATTGCCTGCTCAGCCGTTTTTGTGTAAATTGAATAACAAACATGCAAACTTTCACATTTATAATGTTAGTAGGAGGATACTTTAATTTTGTGTAAAAGTATCTAGAACAGATAGTTAAAAAGTTAGGTGCATAATTAGAGATAAATTTCAAATTGTTTATTACAGACAACAAAATAGTCTACTAAATCATTTGTGACAATATTTAACCTTAATGCTATGCTCATTGTATGTTTTTTAAATATATAAAATAGAAATCTAAATCAAATGTCAAACCAAAATTAATTATATTATTTTAAATGAATTTATATAATTAATTAGTACTTACATTTAAAGCCATATAATTAAAATATTGTGTAATGTAATAAAATATGACAAAAAGTAGAATTAGACATCAGTAAATTATTACTGATGCATCTAAATTCACATACACTAGATAGCCAACTCTATTACACTATAATGAAATGATTTCTAATGTAAAATGTTTTCTGTGGTGTACAATAAAGTTATTTGTATTTTTATTGTAGTTTTTTTATTGAATACCTGATGTTTAACAATTTTCACCAATTCACATTGAGTCATAGCCACAACAAATACCTTTGAGGACAATATGGGGAGGTTTATTTATAAGTCTATTAAATACAGACCCGTCTTTCCCAGTGGGCACTTTGGGCAAGTGCCCAGGGCCCCGCGATCAATAGGGGCCCACCTCAGATCACAAATACAAAGTCCCTTGTTCCTGTTAGATCTCCAAATGGGGGCCCAGGGCCTTCAATAGGTCAAAGACGGCACTGATTATATATATTGAAAAGGCTGGCTGCTATCTACAAGGACAATTCTGCCAATAATCATAATAATCAATCAAAATCATTTATTCAGTTTAGGCTGTTACAAGCACTCCTGAATGTCTAGAAGCTTCGCCATCAGTTCGTAAATCTACGGCGGGAGACCTTGTACTGAGAAGAACCGGCAAGAAACTCAGCAAGGGCTGTTTTTTTCTCCCTGTTTTATTATTTACAAAGTCGTCAAATTGAAAAATGACTTCAAAGATGATTCATGAAGTCACCTTTCATTACATAATTATTAAATATACATTAATTGTTTACCTGCATTTTGATTGCTGTGTCATACAGTATAAATACAAATAGTGTTATTTATATTAAGTGTGACTAAACATTAACTTAAATATTAAGGAAGTTAGGGCAGACTCATCTCCGCTGGCAGCACCCGTTCACGAGCATGACGCATGAACCAGCCATCGCTTCGCTCAACCATATTTTAGGGAACGTAACGACCCGCCTCACAAGACACCGCCGAAGAGACTATTAAGAGAGCATGACTACCCGTAACTACCCATACTAACTACAACATATTTACTTAAATTAAGGTCATTTACCTGTAGGACACCACAAACAATTACAAAAAAAAAGCAATGGAGAAATCACGACCACACCGTTTTGTCAATCAAATAATCTTAAACAGTCTGATAATCTTCCTTAAGTTATCAACTTTATATACAGCTTTCAAATTTAATTATAGTATTGTCAACACATAATTCACAATAGGGAAGATGCATATATAATATTTATGAAAATTTTATGATTAAAATGTTAAAAAAATATAAAAGAAATGCCACTGCAACATTTTTATTTTACATAATGTTGTTTTTTAACAATTATTACGAATTAAAAATACTTGAAACGGAACGTATTTTAAAACACCAATCAGTGTTTAGTGACGTCACTCCTGTTATGACAACTTCTTTGAGGTTATGGTTGTTAAAGTAAATATTATTTTATGGGAATATTTATTGCATTTAATAAAAATGGAAGTTGGGTTTATCAAAGCAGACTCCAGGAATTTACCAAGAGCTAGCGTTGACATGGTTATAACTTTTTTTGTCCAAAGTGCAGAGTTTTTAAGTGTAGAAATGAAAAGGGCTAAATTACTACGGTATGCAAAAATCGTAGTTGTTAAACTTCGTATTTTATTCAGCGGCTTCTACAAATCTTACGGCGATAATGCAATCGGCTATGTCCAAATTAAAAGAGATGGAAAATTATGTACAGTAAAAGGTCGAGTTCTCCGGAGCATAAAGTACGTAAAGAAGGTTATCGTGTTACAGTTATTTTAAATGAAACTCAAAGCTTGGTTCAGTCCTGCCAATGTGAAGATTGTACCACACATTTTAAACTTTATCTAATTTTCGACGTCATTCTCCAACTGTAAAATTAAAAATATGTTATAGACAGGTTTTGTAAGTATTAGGTAGGTTACTAATGCGTTTTTACGTACAAGCAGATTAATTAAGCATATAACATGTATATTCGCCGACTTACGTCAAAGTGATCTTCTCAGCATCGAATAATGGTCTTTGGAGAATAATTGTCATTTCTCTTCGCAGCTTGAAACCACTTTTTTTTCAGTTTTGGGTCAGAAGTTCCAGTCAAAAACAATTTATTTGGGAACTTTGTTGAAGTAGATTGGCACAAAACATGAGTCAACACGGTTTTTTTTTCGGAATATTAGTGGTATTGTTATGATCACATGATGTTGATGGATAGTCCATTTTAAATTTTTCAAAAAATGTTTCGAAAGTCGAAAAAATATGCAAAAGTGTGAAAATTTAAAGCCAGCAACGAACAATTACGACCAGTGACAGACAGGAGTGACGTCATCGCAACCATAGGTTCGTTTTCGTGCGAAAATTTAAATTGTCCATTTAAAACCGCATTTTTCCGATAAATCAAAATGTTTTAATTTTTTAATATATCTGTGGTTTATTCTACATGGAATTCTTTAAAATGAAAACAAAAATAAAAATATTGTATCTTCCCTATTTAAATCATATAGAAATACCTGTTGGAATGGTTGGAACAGTTCATACCCAAGCATTTTTGTCTGTAATATAATCAGACACACAATGTCAGGGTTGAGCACTACAGGTGGTCACTTTGTGTAGTTACACACAGCTTCCTCTATTGTACGGCAAAATGATAGACAATGATTATTGATAAGTGATAAGATATATAAGTCAATGATGATGGTCTATCAATACTCATGTTAGTTCGAAAGTCTGACTATTTAATTATTTATTTATTTATAGTCCTTATTCAGATATCAACATTGTTTATATAAAAATAAATCATCGTCTTCATTTTTAATACTCTTCCTTAACTTTGTGTGCCTTTTGGCAAAAGCCTCCTAAAACTCTTTCCACTTTTCCTCTCCCTAGCCAGCATTATCCAATTTTTACCCGCTAACTGAACTATGTCAAAACTCCCATCTCTTGAGTGGTTTCCCTTCCTTCTATTTCGTGCTCTTGGGGACCATAAGGTTACTGACTCGCTCCATTTTTCTTCACCTCTCTCCCTCATTAGGTCAGGAGGTATTAAGAAGTGGGGATATTAATAGGCTAATGATGATGATGTTACGAGCCCCCTACTCCCAAACTTAAAAGTGCTGTCTTTGTAATTTTTTAGTTGATGGACAAAAGACAACACGTCAATTATTTTTTGATAATCTAACTGACAGACATAATTGAATTTCATTAATTTCACCTGTCCTGACCCCTATTCTACACAGGCTCATTAGGTCAGGAGGTATTTAGAATGCTTTAAAATGTTTGACCGACAAGAAGGATTGGCCGGTCTGATTAGGAAAGGGAAATTGTTTGTGGAGTTTTGTTGCACTTCTTGATTTTGCCTCCTTCTTGTGGTCATTTGGGTTTATCACGTGCCTGCACTAAGCACTTCAGTTCGTTCAAGATACAAAATTTATCTTGCTGGACACTGCATTTATCATATGAGTGGAGTAATGTCCAGTTTTAAGTTAATAATTTGATGGTTTTGGTCAGTTCACATAAAAAGTGTTAATGCAACCGTCATCAAAGAAACACTGGCGAAACCAGGCCAGGCTTAAATAACAACACAGAATATTCCAGCTAGGTACACTTTCCTATTATCAAGTGTGATATTAACAGACAAGGTACTTTTATAAAACTAGACTTGCCACTTGACATGTGTTTTAAGAAAATATATAGTATGAACAAAATTATATTATTAGAAATCAGTTTGCGGCACCCTTGGTACTCTACCAACGTCTTAAAGGTTTAGTACGTTTTATAATATATTAATACTCACCTATCACTGTCATAAACAAAAGATTTACTCCTACTCGCTCTCGCTTCTTCAGTTCTTAACTTATAATACTCGAGATCTTTTAAAATTTTCTCTTTGTAGGCTAATAACTCCTTTTTCCTTCCGCTCATCACTACATTTGCAGACATTTTCATAAAATATGAGTAATATTCACGGAAAAAAACAATTGTTTACCAGTAAACACAAATACAAACAATCAAACTCAACGCACGATTTTTAAATTTTGACAGTTCCTAGGGATGTCAAATTATAACACAAAAACTCAAACAATATTAATCGATGTTAAAAATCCAAAAAACTTATAATCAGTTAATTTTATATTTGATTATTACTATGTGAGGTCGATTATTGCCCGGATTCATCATTTTTAGTTCTTATGTTACAAAATGTAATTCTGTTATCATTATAAACCTACTTCTTTATTCATAAAGTTCTTCTAAGGACGCATGTGTCTGTGTCGAATGCGTGCATTTGTATAAATTGTATGTGGACATTTATAAAGTAATTTACTGGTGTCAATTATGGCATGATTCTCCAAACCTAAAATTAAATTTGTAAACAGTGTAGCCTTGTCGATCTTTATACAGAATAAAAAGGAGAGAACGAAACTGATGTTAAATTTTATTTCAAAATTAAAGAAACATGCTAGAATCAACACTGGTGTCGATTCTAGCATGATTCTCTAAACCTAAACTTAAATTTGACAGCAGTATATTCTTGTTAAATTTAGTTTTAAGTTGAGAGAATCACGCCAGAATTGGCACCAATGTATTTCTTATTTAGTTAATAATAAATATACTATGGTGTCGATTCTGGAATGATCATCTAAACTTAAAACTAAATTTAACATCAGTCTCTCTTTTTAATTCTGTGTAGAGAATGACAAGGATGCACTGTTGTCTTTAAGTTCAGGCTTAGAGAACCATGCCAAAATAATATATTATAAATAAATACATTCTTCCAATAAAAATATTAGCTTTCTGCCATCCATACAAATATTAAAATAAAATACAATTACATAATAATATTATATATTCTCCAAAGTGTATACTCATTTACTAATTACTAATATTATTAGTAAATGAGTACACACTTTGAAGAGGCATCAAATTTCGCGTATGTCGACTGTCAAAGACTTGGGCTTTTGTTTTCATGACCGACTTAGTGTCCGATGCCACTATGACGCAATTATAAAGAAATTGAATATATTGTTTAGCTTCATAACAAGGCAAACTAAACAATTCAAAAATCCACAGAGCTTAATCGCCCTTTTCAACTATCTTTTGAACAGTGTTTTTGAATATGGCTCAACTATATATAACCCTTATGCGGTGCACTCAGACCGAATCAAGTCAATTCAGTATAGGTTTTTGCGCTTGCTAAGTAGTCGTTGTGGTTATAAAGTAATTCCACGTTCGTATTGACAGAGATTTAAATACTTCGACATATTTTCTCAGTCTAACCACGCCATTGTGAACTGGACTTGGGCCCACTACAACTTAATACATTCTGTTCTCGACTGCCGCAAGTTTCTTATAATAAAATTTAAATGAAATATAATATCTGCAAACCTTACTACGTATCCCTTTGCTATAACAAAATCTCACACCAGCAGCCACTAGCCAGGATGTGTCGTTCGTTAATGACTGCAAACTATTACTCCCTGATTTTGTCATGTTTGACTAACATCTCAGCTGTTCACTGATCAAATACATGCACATGCACAAGGCTGCATACTAACCATTTGCAAAAATAAGAAGCGAGTTTTATTGTCACCACTATAATAATTGTAACTGTAGCTCATTCTAATATAATTCTCATTAATTAGTGAAATTATATAGAATATAATAATTTAGAAGGAAAAATAGCTCACAACGCGTTGTGGTCACACTAAAACATCCACATGGCGAAATTCGTGTTATGGCTCTAATGAAAACGCGCACGACGCGTTGTGGCAGTCACAGAAAGACCAAATAGTGAAATTCGTGTCGTATAGCTGACATGTTATTCGATCTCAACTCGTTGTGGCAATGAAGAAAAGCCATGACGAGTATGGAATTAATATTTGATTACGACGCACACTACTTTCCGATATGGATCCTACTAGGCCTAGGCTGGAAACGTTTTGGTAGATGTCTTTAGGAAATATTTTTTATTTTATAAAATCACTGCATTACGTGTTTGTCATTATTAAATATGTTATATAATTATATAAATTAAAATAAAACGATATTTGTTATTTATTGAGATTACTTTATATTTAAAAAATCAACGTATTAAGTAATAAATTACTGAACACAAAATATTATTCATTTGTAAAAATAATTAGGGATTTTTTTTACGACAATTTAAAATTCTTTCAAGTAATAAAAATATTTAACACAAGCATAAATGTTTATTGATCACCAATAAACAACAACAATGTACTTAAATCAATTACTTATACTAGAAATTACTGTACTTGTGAAAAATAAGTATTTGATTGCTATTTATTTTTACAGGAACTATTACTGTGGCATTTTATATTCTTGGAGCGACACTTGCACTTTTTATCAATACATTGGTGTCGATTCTGGCATGATTCTCTAAAGCTAAACTTAAATTTGACAACAGTACATCCTTGTCCTTCTCTATACAGAATGAAAAGGTGAGACTTACCTTAAATTAAGTTTTAAGTTTAGAGAATCTCGCCAGAATTGACACCAGTATCTTTTGCAGTGGTACATTATAAACCCTTGCTTACTTCCAGATGATAACATAGATGCTGAGCGAAGTGTTAATGACGAAGTTGAGGGCACATCACAAATGTTAATAAAGTTGGTTTCAGAAAGTGTAAACTCATTTTACATCAAGTGTAAAGCCATAATACTAATTTCGCCATGTGGATGTTTTACTGTGACCACAACGCGTTGTGAGCTATTTTTCCGCTCACTGAGCGTTTGCGATCTTTGAGCGTAACATATACAAATAATCATTATTTTTTATGATTTATGAAAGTGAATACTTATATAGAACAGTTTTATTTTGGTCACACTATTGAATTTCAATTGAAACCATATATTGTTTTATTTTTATTCTGATAGGTTTTTCATGCATGCTATGTACACATTCTTCATCTCGATAGTAAGTCGTTTGAGCTGTTAATTATCTTTTGATTTGTGTTCGTTTTGCATTGTGAACAAATTAATAAATAAGTTAAAACTCAGCGTAATTTAGAGCTTAAATACTTTATGTAAATTTTGTTCAAATTGTATTATTTGAAATATAAATATCAATCTCAGAGTGATGTATCTTGCTTTAGATATGTTTTTTTTTTGGAATTTACTCCTTAAAAATCGATTTGCATATATAAGGGCCCGGTATGAGAAAAATGTGAGGAGTAAAATCTATCGATGAATAACATTAATGACCTCGTTACGTTTTTGTGCGCAACCTCATCTGCCCACCTTTCACTTTTAGCCATGGCAACGGATAAAAAACATTAAGTTGTCACAAATGTCAATAAAATAAATAAACTAAAAATAGATAAAATCGGAGCAAAATTAATGAAAACAAATAAATAATAGAATATAGAGAAATGCGGGTAAGTATCCAGCACTCTGGAATAGTGATTTTCAGTACACATGGAATTATAATACATATTTACAAAATGATGACTAGTGTGTGATATTTTTGAAATTGTGTGTTTCCAGAAATACATAATAAAATATATGATGAATGCTGATGTTAGATGATAAAATGTGTGACATGGAACCTATGATAGTCGAAACCATGGGACGATTCCTGAGGTATCTCTACTTGTAACCGACTTCTTCGGACTTGATTTTGTTTTGTGTCTTTTCAAAGACAATCGTTTTTAGAGTGTAAACTCCGGTCGTGCGTCGGAGCTGACACACACAATTTTTGTTTTGTTTTAAAGATTTTCGTTATTTTATTTAAAAATTATTATCATCACACTTATTACTATAAAAGCGAAAGTTTGTGAGTGTGTGAATGTTTGTTACTTTTTCACGTCTAAACGGCTGCGGCGATTTTAATCAAATTTGGCATGGTAGCTGACACCCTGGATTAACACATAGGCTACGTTTTACTGCGGGAAAATATCCCTTATAAACCGCGGGTAACACTGCGGGGTACAGCTATTTGTTATATATTTATTTCAAGCAGTGCCCATAGTAAGTGTTAGTAATCATATTCTACAGTATTATACATACATATTAACTTGGGATGCCAAGGTGTGGATTAACCACACAAAAATTAGATCAGTGTGTGGATACACACCCACTCTTGCAAAAGAGGTAACCAACCTACCTATCAATAAATACCTTGAGGATACCACTTGTGTCGTTACGCAAGCGTGTAAGCGCAGAGGCACACCTTTTACGCATAATGGCAATAACGCCATTCACGTATCCGCAAACATTTTGGATGCACTTATTGAGAATAAGCTCTGAATAATTAATTAATTTGATTGCTTTAGTACAACGAGCAACATATTGCAGCGAATGTCGAAGTCATCCTTCATATCCTCGGTAACCCAGTGGCCCAAATACTTCAAGAACAAATACAAGAGGCATTCCTCACAAAGACATTATCGGTAGGTCCCTGCTACTGTGGAATTATGATCCTGAAGGCTTAAAGAGAATCCATTCGCTTTTACTGATGTTGTATTGTACTTAAGTCCATGGGCCACTGTATAACGTTCACAGATAGATAGGAGCCGCCTTAACCCACTGCCAGACGGGTTCAATAAGACCATACCCTCTGCATATATCAGATTATTCAAACAGACACTATCTATGAAACAACCAAAATTGATTTTATACCTATACATAAACATTCTTGTTTGTCGATGAGACACTTTTTAAATCATTTTAATAATTGATTTAAATTTGTTTAGTGGTTACTCTTTAATATTACTTGGAACTTTATTGTAAAATCGAACACAAAAATTAAACGTTAAATGTAGCTCTTTATTATTACGTCTAAATTCAATTACAAATTAAAAAAGTATAAAACCGATTAATAATGTATCGATTCTTCTCGCTCAATATAACATCCCTAATAGATACTAATATTTTTTTAATTATTTCTTTTTCTGGGAAGGCTATAGGAACAAAGCCCATATTGCTAATTTTTTCAGGATTGTCCTTCTAGATTTACAGCTACGGAAAAGACGATTGAAAAATAAAATTAATACGGTTAAAGTTGTACTGTGTGTGCCTAAGGAATAATTAAATTTATTAAAATTGTACTTACTAACTTGCTTTAAATGCAGTTGCTTGAAAGGCGCTCAAATGACGCATAGCAATTTAATTATCTGCCATTTCACACATTCTCTTCACAGACTACAGAGATTATTTTTCCTCTGCTGCTATTGCCAGACTGGGCTTAACGTAAGATAATTGATTTTATTAATTGGTCACCCTTTCCATTCCATTTCACGCATATATATCATGTTATAATAAAAAGGAAAAATTTAATTATGCTTACGGAATACTATTAATTATTAGACATATTTTTGTCCCTTTACTTAAACTAGTGAATCCTAGGATTTATTCATTTATGGTTTATACATATATCTGAAATTCAAATGCGCATAGTCTCTAATTGGAATGTGACAGACAACCTGACCACCTGACCCCTGTCTGAGCTGTCAAATTTCTAAGGCACAGTTAGCTGTCGGTGATAAACTGTAGAAAATGTTGCAAAAACATTAGGATTCCTTAAAAATTAAGTGCAATTTACTCGTGCAATAAAAATGCCAAAACAACTAAGTTGTCCTAAATACTGAAAGGCAGTGAGACAGCTAGGTTCTTACTTAAATTGTGTTGCTAAACCAACATGCTAATTATTCAATAACGATAGATTTAATACATAATGACTGAAAACATGACATCGTGAGTTCATAGTTCATGTGTTCACAAGTGGTCTGACTGTATGCGTGCTGGTAGTGAGAATAAACTGTGTTTACAAAACAAATGGTTGTAATTAAGTGTGTGTAAAGAAGATTTTCTTACCATGGGGCAGACCGGTAGTGCTATGCCTGGTAAGTGATGCTAAATTTACTGTAAACATATGTACTTGAAACTCTCTAATAAGATTCTAATGAGAAATGGATGTGCAACCCATTTCTAACCTCTCTTATGAGTTAACCTCTATCTTATCTCTAATTCAGAATCTAATACAAACCAATGGGTCAATGTACGTGATATTGGCCTAATTTCCTTTTTTTTTATTATATACATATATTAGCGATTTAATTAGTTATTAGAGCTATATTTGCCTCTATTAGATTATGAGCATAAATAATGTACCTATAATTCCAATAAGTTTTTATACACACATATTATTATTAAAAGCATTGTTCATAGTTTATTTATAAAAATATCTATTCTTTTTTTTGTCAAGTTCATCAGCTCATATCTTTATATATATAATTCTTCTGTGAGTGTGTATGTCACTGAACTTCTCTTAAACGACTGGACCGATTTTGATGAAATTTTTTGTGTGTGTTCAAGGGGATCTGAGAATGGTTTAGATTCACAATTTTGTCTGCTGGACAACCCCTATTTTTTTAGGGCGGTACGAAGTTCGCTGGGTCAGCTAGTACCTAATAAAATCTAAGGCCACCAATTCTGACATGATTCTCTAAACCAAAATTAAATTTGACAACAGTGTATCCTTGTTATGTTCAATACAGAATGTAAATAATAATATTTTTTTTCCAATAAGTTGTTACATCATTTAATAAATTATTTAATAGATAATAAAAAAAAGAGAAATAGGACTATATGATAAAATTTTGTGTGGCTGTGTGTGTGTGCGAATGAACTCCCTTTCATATACTTGTTCATTTTGTTTTGAAAATTGTTTCTTGCTATTTTGGGACTTATCTTTGCACTTATTGTTAGTAAATTCATTGATTGTTACATATTTGACATTATGTGATGGAAGTTGACCTCAACACATGTTTGCAAGTTTGATGTCAACTTTCAATTGGACGACACTGTATGAAATAAAACAGGGAGAAAAAAGCAGCCCTTGCTGAGTTTCTTGCCGGTTCTTCTCAGTACAAGGTCTCCCGCCGTAGTTTTGCGAACCGATGGCGTAGCTTTTCGACATTCACAAGTGCTTTCACAAGTGCTTGTAACAGCCTAGACTGAATAAACGATATTGAATTTTGAATTTTTTGAATTTTGTATGTTAGTATGTGTTTGTGGAAAAGAATAGGTATGATTTTATTTATTTTTTAAGCATTTAACTGCTAGATGATGATTTTTTTTTCTAGTAAACTTTTCTTAAGAATAGGTATGTTATGGGATGGGAAAATGTATGACTGTTGACAAATTTTGTTTTAATTTTAGATAATCATGCCAGAATCGACTAATTGTCACAAACAATTTTTCATATTTATTTTAAGTATTTAACTGCTAGATTTATAAGTCTGAAGAAAATGTTACTAGTGAAAATTCCACATGGTTCAGGCAGCAGACGGGATTCCAACCTCCACTTTCTACTATCAGGATGGTGCTGCCCTGCAGCCTAGATATAGTAGAAGAAATTCGATACTGCTATTAAGATCACCATAGCATTATTAATAAGTGCGTCTGCTTCACGGAGCACCCCCACTAGAGTCCGCATCACACAAATTTTGTTTGGAATCAAAATCGCCAAAGTCGGCGGTCAGCCCCGCTGTGATTGGACGCGTCAAGGTCAGATCATATACTCAGTGCAGCGAAGTGATGAGGGTAAGATCGATTTTAGAAAATATCGATATTTTCTATCGATAAACAATTTAGAATAGAGGCCTAGTACTTTGGTGCGCAAATGCGTAATCATAGGGTATGATTACGCATTGTAGAGGAGTGGAGAGGGCTCCACTTTCTTCCAGAGTTCTAATTACATGACGTGACTAGTAACTACATACTAAATTATATATAAGCAACACAAAAAAAAACACGTCCAGGACAAGAAGTATTAATGCAACAATATTAACTGCCCTAGATACAACAACACGAACAAAATCTTAGCCGAAACGTGTCCAAAAGGTACATTGGACGATCCACGGAGGTCCGTAAGATGATCGCGTGGTCAAAAACAATATAATGCCTTATTTAAACATTGAAAGTCACCTTTAATGCATACGGCATAAGGTCTTAATTAAAATGCATGCGTCAAGTTCGTAAAATTTTACGATTTATTGTTATATGTGAAAGAATATAGACCTTATTTTTTTTGACTTTTCACGCGCAATTCTGAACACGTGCCGGTGTGAGAGCGAGATAGCATATATGATGTAGCCCATGCGAGAAAGGGATAGTGTAAAAAGACATCAACGCGTTCACCAAAAAATAAATACAATTAACAGCAATTTAATATTACAGTACTTTTGTCTTTTTGTAATGCATGTAAACTAACCAGTGAAAAGTAATACCATTTTTTTGAAGACTGGAAGTTGTACTCGACTTTCCACACAATTTAATTGCACAGTACGCCATTTTTTACAGTTTTTTAACACGAAAACGAGAGAAGTAGTTCGACCAACGCTCGGTTACCGAATGAAACGATGTATCGCGACGTCTGTAGGCGTGCCTCACGCATAGGTAAAATACTACTTAAACTTGGCGTAAGCGCTTGCCCTTGTATGCGGACTCTAGTGGGGGTGCTCCATGGTCTGCTTAGACAGCAGAAGGTTGGTGTTTGAAATCCATCAAATGCATGGACTCTGGGGATTTTTTTTGTAAAATTTTCTTTATTAATTAGTATTAAATTTTAAATTCAATACTCATTCATTCAGTTTAGGCTTTGTGAAATGTGAAAGTCGAAAGCTATGACATAGGTTCGCAAATCTACGATGGAAGAACTTGTACTGAGAACTGGCAAGAACCACAATAAGGGCTGCTTTTTTCTCCATGTAGTATTTCATACAGTGTCATCAAATTGAAAGCTGAAATCAATGTTATAAACATGTATTGAGGTCAACTTCCATCACATAATGTAAAATAGTTAAATATCCCGTAAAAAATTTTCAAAATGTTGTTCAAGCAGTTTTTATAAAGACACTAAGGCCCGTATTACAGAATGACAACTAAGTGATGATCTTTACTTGAGTACAGTTAGAAAGAGATGTCGCTATGTGCTATATATAGCGCCATCCCTTTCTAACTATGCTCAAGACTAGTTCAATCACTGACAATCTTTCTATAATACGGGCCTAAGTGCAAGGTTCTCTTCAATGTTGAGGAGACATATATTACACTTCTGGACACATCTATTGGACCACCTTGTATTTTCAGTTTCTTTTGGTTCTAGCTAAAATTTTATATTAGGTCGAGCAAATAGATTTTATGCAGTTTTGAACCTGGCACATTCACAATTTCATTCAATAGTCTTTTATTGAATTTCGAACACAGAATTTAAAGAAACAAAAGACAATTTGGAGCCTGTTTGTTGATATCAAATAATTGAATACTAAGAAAACTTGGTTTTATTGGTTTACTTGGATTTAATTCTTGAAAAAGTGATTGATATCTTTGGTTTTGCAACAAACATTACTTATTCTTAACATTAAGGTGAGGTTCTATCAACAATCTATGGATACTTCACCTGAAGTCGCCGCCCAAGCTGTGGCACTTATTCAGGCCGGACACAGCCAAAGAAACGTGAGTGCTCAACTTAATTTAAGTCGATCTGCGGTCCGAAATGTTTATCGGAGGTACCTAGAGACTGGCGGCTTTGTTCGTCGCCAAGGAAGGCCACGATCTCGGGTCACAACTGAAAGGCAGGATCGATTCATCGTGACGACCAGCTTGAGAAAAAGTCACCTTACCTCCATTGAGATACAAAAACAAATTCGCAACTTCCACGGAGTATCTGTGAGCGCTCGAACTTTTCGGAGAAGGTTAAAAGAACGCGATATGGTACCACACAAGCCAGCTAATGGGCCCAAACTAACGCGAGCCCACCGAACAGCGCGCCTTCATTTCGCACGCAGTCATTTAAATTGGACACAGCAAGATTGGAGCCGTGTACTCTTTTCTGATGAGTCTGAAATTGTGTTACATGGCAATGATGGAAGGAAGAAGGTCTACCGACGTAAGGGAGAGCGTTTCGCACAATGCTGCTTTGAAGAGAGGGTTGCTTATGGCGGTGGCTCATGAACTGCCTGGGGCGGTATATCCGCGAGCGGCAAAACTCAACTTGAGGTTGTTACCGGACCACGGCTGCCAATATTAAATGCTGAAAGGTACATTCGTGAGTGCTTAGAATCTCACGTGATACCATACGCGGACTATGTGGGCCCAAATTTCCTTTTTATGCATGATAATGCAAGAGCCCATGCGGCCGGCATCGTCAGGGAATATCTTCGGGATGTGAACATCACAGTTATAAACTGGCCAGCCAGAAGGCCAGACATGAACCCCATTGAGCACATGTGGGACGAGCTAAAAAGACGTGTTAGGGCTCGTCAGCCAGTTGCCCAGACGATGCAGGAGTTGAAAACTGCCATAGAAGAGGAATGGGAGATGATCCCTCAAAATTTCATAGAGTGGTTGATAAACTCTATGCCTAATCGTATGAGAGCTGTGGTAGATGCCCATGGAGGCAACACGCGTTATTAAATTAAACCTTTATTTGATAAAACATGTTTTTTATTCAAAAATCAATTGCCTTTAAAAAGGCGCATATCCGACTTTTTAGGCGTAGCTCCATGTCGTATGGTATTCTGAATTCAAATTTAAAACAATACGATCGAAAATGATGGTAAAATGTATCAGGTTTAAAATTGCATCAACAGTTTTTGTTCAATCTAGCAATCATATTTCGGTAGGGGCCATCGAAAACTAAACTCTAAGGTGGGCCAATAGATGTGTCCAGAAGTGTACCTATATAACTTTGAAAAAATTCTGATGGTAACAATTAAAATGTATTAAGATTTCATGTCTTTTAAAAATGTACTCTGCTGATTTGTCAATCATCACCATAGTTGAGGAGCTTGATTATTATGGTGGGATGTCATAGTAGTCATTCTGCTTGCTGTTGACA